AAATAGCTGTAAATCTATAATATCTATAAATACGTTGTAAACCTTTAAAATACATTGTAAACCTTATAAATACCCTGTAAAAAACCTTTAAAATACCTTGTAAATTTTTCCCGCCAAAAATTTTACGCCAAAAAAATTGCGGAATCACTTTTCCCGCAAAAAAATTTTTTTGGCGGGAAAATTTTTTGGCGGGAAAAAATTTTACAAGGTATTTTAAAGGTTTTACAAGTGTTTTGGCTGGAAAAATTGCGGGATCACTTTCCCGCCAAAAAATATTTTGTATTTTGTGGACCTAATTTTGTTATATTTCCTTATATATTTATGATATCTTTTATTAAAAGAATGGTAATTTAGTCAGTTTGTACATAAAAGAGGTATTTTTAAAAATAGACAGCCAAAGAGGGCATTTTTGAAAAGGGGTATTGAAAAATGGGCATTTTTGTGAGTCTCCCTTTAATTATTTATTTTTTCCTAGTACTAAAGTAATTTTCTAATCATTATTGAAAAAAAAAAATTATGTGTAAAAATATGTTTAGAGCTTAGATTATTAGTTTTTTCCTAGTACTGAAGTAATTTTTTAATCATTAATGTTATTTAAAAAAGTTAAATTATGTGTAAAATTTTGTGCAGGGTTCCACTAATTAGTCCTAATTAAATAATAGTTGCACATTACGAGCCAAGCTAGTTAATAGTACCATTTTAACTATTTAATTCATTCTCTAGCCTTCTTCTGTTCTTCATCATTTCCACTTATGTATTATTTTGGAAGCACTCACTATATAATAGACATAAGCAGAGAGAACTATCCCTCTCTTTGCTTTCCTTTCTCTCTCTCTCCATCTCTCTCTAGATCACCATCTCTCCTTCTAGCTCAATCACCACAAACTCACAATCAAACTAAAAGTAAAACAAAAAAACCAGAGACCCTCCATCTGAGTCAGAAGCTCTAGTTCATTCTCTCTTTCTCTCTCTTCTGCAACACAAAACATGGACGAGAAGTGGAAGCTGTCGAAAAAGGATGCATTAGCTGCGTCATGTTCCTCTTCTTCAACTTCATCTAAATCCAAATTCTCTAGAAGCTTCTCAACAAGTGCTTCCTCCTCAAAAGCTCCTGCATTCTTACGAAGCTCATCCACCAAATGCTCAGTGCCTTCTTCTTCTTCCTCGTCTTCGATCTCCAGAAGTTCATCGAAAAAAGAGAAAGGGTCAATAACACAAAAGTACAGTAGCTTAGCCAAAGAACAGAAGGGAAGGTTTTACATCATGAGAAGGTGTGTGGCTATGCTTGTATGTTGGCATAAACATGATTCCTAGGTAGATAGATCTCATGCATTTTTTTTTTTAAATGATTAGATCAGTTTGATTCTCTACTCTAAGTTTGCTACAAGTTTCCATACTAGTACATTGTAAGAAGAGATTCTTTTGATAATATATTTACTATTAATTTTGATAAGACAGAGTCATGTATACAGAGGTATAAATAATTAAAAGTGTGTCGTCTGATGAAGAAAAAATTGAAATTATATGCCACAATCTGGAGGGTCGATGTGTCGAGACGTACAATTATTTTGTTAGGATTAAATCGAATAGTCACTTTCATTGTCTGGCAAAAATAATGAAATAAATTCAATAATAACAACCAATGATAATTTATTTGGTCAAAGATCTGAGGTTTCTTTTGTTTTCGGTCAACAGATCTGAGTGTTTTTCACATACTTATTTACTAATTTTATTTGTCGTCATATGGCTTTTGCAACGTTTATGCTCTTTTTATAGCCGTGATTAGACTTCAAAACAATATCTTAATGGGGTCTAGTTAATGTCATGGATTTACAATTATGATGATAAAATTTTGGTCAATAAAGTTGCATAATTATTAGATTATAAAATTTGCTTACACCACAAAACCCATTTAGAATAGAAAAATCCAACAAAAACAGAATAAACTCTTAAAAGGGTTACACAAATCTTTTTATTTTTTCACTTTTTGCATCTTGTGGCAGTTTTATAGTAATATACTCCCTCTGTTCCTAAAACAATGATGTTTTAGTTTTACACACAAATTAAGAAAAAGTAACTTTTATATTTTTTATTATTATTTTGTTAGTTTAATAATATTAGTTTTACTTCCCTCCTTCTACTATTGGTCACAAACAAAATTAATAATGATGTTTTTACAAAATATCAATCTTGGTGGAACAAATAAAAAACCCAAAACATCAAATAACTAAGAGAGTACTATGTTAAAGAAAAGTTTAAGATAGAATTACTATACTGTGTATAAGAATGTACGTACTTTGGACGCTGTTCCGTGTTACTGACATGAATAAAATTAATCTTCTATCTTATAGCGGGAAAATTTTTTCGAGATATTGAAGAATCCAATGGAAAGTTATGAACCACTCGATCTTTGTCTCTTTTTGACACTGACGATAATGTCATGATCATAAGAATTTTGGATTTTAATCAGAAAATAAGTGATCACGTTACAAATTTATTCAAAAGCCTTTTCAATTATTGCAAAAAAATAAAAAATTATCGTACGGAGAAACTCTTAATAGGAAAAAAATACGCAAAAAGGTGAAAAAAAAATGAAAGAAAGAAACTCAGACTTCTCAGGTGAGAAACCAAACACAAAAGTACAAGAGAGAAAAAGTGAACAGTGTCAGAAACATTACACAGTTTTTTTACGAGAAGAAAAAACGAGTTCGGTAAAAAGAATGACGTGGCTTTAAGAGAAACGTTGGATTTTGTCAGAGTGAATATTTTGGGAAATCTGACGGTGGAGACTGCGGAACCAAGTGGCTAAGTATGAACCAGAACTTTTGTGGCGACTGTTCGTTTTGATCGAGGGAAAACTAGCCTTGCGGCAAGATCTTTTTAGACGCTAAAACAAGAGGATAAATTATACTCCCTCTGTTTCTAGTTATTTGATGTTTTAGGTTTTTTACTTGTTCCACCAAGATTGATGTTTTGTAAAAACATCATTATTATTTTTGTTTGTGACCAATAGTAGAATGAGGGAAGTAAAACTAATACTCCATCTGTTCATAAAAGATTGATGTTCTAGAGTCTTCACATATATTAAGAAGCAATCATTGTTTAATTATTTGTCAATTATTTTTTTATACTAAATATTTTTTAATAACTTTGAACCAATAGTATTAGAAAACAGTTAATCATTACGTCTTAAAGTTTACGATATATTAATTTTAATCAATAAAAAATAAAACAAAAACCTAAAAAATCAAACTTTGTGGAACAAACTAAAACTCTAGAACATCAAATATCTAAGAACAGAGGGAGTATTATTAAACTAACAAAATAATAATTAAAAAATATAAAAGTTACTTTTTATTAATTTATGTGTAAAACTAAAACATCATTGTTTTAGGAATAGAGGGAGTAAATCACTTTGTTAAAAAAAATATATATAGATAAATCACTTTTGACCCAAAAAAAATAATCATAAATCACACTAGTCTTTTAGCGAATGGAATTATCACCCCTTTTCTGTATTATTGGGTATAACTTTATGTTGAAGCCCACACGGGCCCAAAACATATAATACGTATTTGTGTAATAGATCACATAGGAACAATAGAAAACTGTTTTGAAACATACATAGATGGGGGTGTAACAAACCTGCAAAATTGATACTATAAAATCTGTTTAAGTTGACTGTTAAAGTAGTTAAGACCAGTGTTCAAGAAAGCGCTAGGCGCTAAGCGGGCGGTGACCCAGTGCCTAGCGCCTAGAACGTCTAATCGGGGCCTAGGCAATTTTTTAGGCGGTTTAGACGTTTATAACATAAAATATTATAAATATGATATTATATATAAAAGTTATATAAAATGTCTATATAAAACTAAAAATTATGAAATTATAAACAAAACTAGATAAAACATTTATTTATATTTATATTAAACAATATATAAATATGTATAACTATATATATAAATAAAACTCTAATTAAAATTGAAAAAAATACATTAAACAAGATCTATGTAACTTTAGGCGGTCAAGACGGTTATCTAGGCGTCGCATGAGAACCTAGCGCCTAGTCGGGGCCTAGGCGACCGCCTAGACCGCTTTTTAGAACACTGGTTAAGACTTAAGATTTAAGAGCATCCAGTTTTCATATTTACAAGCATCCATGGTTCCATTGAATCTTTATCACTTGAGAAATAAAAGTGACAAATTTACCTTAATTTTTGCTCTCATCGAAAATGTTTCTTGCTGCAACAAATGATCCGCATATCTTGCCATTGTGATAAGAAACGATTTATGTTTTGAAAATGTTTTTTTTTTTATCTTTGATACTTTTTCAAGAAAAACTGCATTAAGTGATAAGAAAATTCTAACGTTTTAATTATTTAATGAGATAACTTGTTTTACAATCCTATAAATTTAAACAACTAAATTAACTTTAATCATAGTACGATGAGACTTTTAGGGTAATATTATAAAGAATTAATTTTTCGTTAATCCTATATTTAAGAAATAAAAAGTCTTATGTATGTGATGAGAAAAATCCCGCGAAGAAACCTTAAAATAAAAAATAAAATAAAATCTGGGAAAATAAATCACAATCGCGGAGATGATGGCACGTGTCACTATTGCGACACGATCTGATCCAAACCTATTTATATTCTTCGCTGCTGTTCGGTCTTGACCGCTCCTCTCGATCTCTGATCTCTCTGTCTTCTGTCTACGCTTCGTCGCCGGCCGATCTCTCCCAGACTCCGTCTTACCTCCTCCGCCGAAACCCTAGGTGAGGGTCACGAGCTTGGATTGGTTTATTGTTTTTGTTTTGGGCATTTTCTTGGCTAAATTTCCTTAAAATGTTGCTTCTGATGAAATCAGATTCCCGGAGAACGAATTTGGTTTTTCGCCGGAGATTAAATTAAGGAGATTTGAGAGGCTGAGAAGATGGGTACAACTACGACAACGAGTGCTGTGTATATTCATGTTATCGAGGATGTCGTCAACAAAGTCCGAGAGGAGTTTATTAACAACGGAGGTCCTGGCGAGAGTGTTCTCAGCGAGCTTCAAGGAGTGAGTTTTCAATTAGAGCTGATCAATGATTGAAATTTGATATCTTTAGTGGATTCGACGTTGTGGGTGGATTGGATTTGTTCCGTAGTAACTAGGGTTTTTTCGGAATTCATCATTTCATATCCTTTACTTGGCTTAAATCCATGATTCTTGGAGCTTAATTGGACCTGTGTTTTTGTCCGAGTAGATTTGGGAGACGAAGATGATGCAAGCTGGAGTCTTGAATGGACCAATAGAGAGGTCATCGGCTCAGAAGCCAACACCTGGAGGTCCATTGACTCATGATTTGAATGTTCCCTATGAAGGTACAGAGGAGTATGAGACTCCCACTGCTGAAATGCTCTTTCCTCCGGTAATTAAACTTACACTAGTCTTCAATCTGTAATTTGAGATATGAACACATGCTTTGGGTGTATCAGTTGGCTTCTTTTACATGTTTTCGGCTTTTTTGTTTTTGTGTTGACCAGACACCATTGCAGACTCCCCTTCCAACGCCGCTTCCGGGTACTGCTGATAACTCTTCCATGTATAACATCCCTACCGGCTCAAGTGATTATACAACTCCTGGAACTGAGAATGGAGTCAACCTTGATGTTAAAGGAAGACCCAGTCCTTATATGGTGAGCTATGCTTATTAAACTGTGAAGCTGTGTAGTGCAACTGCTTAATTCGGTGTTTCCTAAAATTTACAGAGGCAGAACTAATTGACTTTTTTACTTACTGGTTCTTCTGATTTACATAAACTGAGATTATGTTCGTTATTGCAGCCACCGCCTTCTCCGTGGGCAAATCCTAGACTTGATGTCAATGTTGGTAAGTACTAGTTTTTCCAGTACTTAATGTCTCCGTCAAAAGAAATATATTTCAGTTTGTTGTTTGGGATATAAATGTCTGACCTGCTGCTAGCTTATGTGGATGGCCGTGATGAGCCTGAGAGAGGAAACTCTAACCAGCAGTTTACGCAGGTACTTCTTCTTAACATCTAAACCACGAATTTGGTATTTTCGTTTTGGTTTCTCTTCTTTGCAACACTTACGTGATTGATTTGATCAGTGCTCTTCTCAAGTACTTCTTCATTGTTGTACATATCGTTTAAGCTGAGTATACCTCAACTAAGGAACTTATTATCTTTAATCAAACTATGTCCAGGATTTATTTGTGCCATCCTCTGGGAAACGAAAACGTGACGATTCTTCTGGACATTATCAAAATGGTGGATCGATACCTCAACAGGATGGTGCAAGCGATACTATTCCTAAGGTGTGTGTGTGTGTAGAACTCCACATTTGCATTTGGAATAGCTCACATCATAAAAACAGAATCATGAAAGTATTTGTAACACCTGCTTATAATTTCTTTCAAGAAAGATGTATTTAGCATCTTGGTGATACACCTGACTGGAGCACAATTTTACAGGCAAACTTTGAGTGTTATGCACTCCGCATAACCTCTGTTGGCGATAGAAAGGTCCCACGAGACTTCTTCTGCTCATCATCCAAGATTCCTCAAGTTGATGGGCCAATGCCTGACCCTTATGATGAAATGCTGTCCACACCAAATGTAAGAATACTGCTTTTCATTTAGTAGTCAAAATTTCAGTAGATATATACTTACTTTGACATACTCACAAATCAGTAATTTCAGTAGACATACTCACAAATCAGTAACTGGAAACTCTTATGATTTAGTACAATTGGATCCCTCCTTGCTACCCATCATAGATATTGCATTTGGATTTGCCATCAAACATGCAACATTTGTCTAGAGATGTCTATTACACCGTCACCCAAGTAGGTTTGCTAGTAATTCCATGAATTTCATTTACTGCGTTGTAGATATACAGTTATCAAGGACCCAGTGAAGACTTTAACGAGGCCAGAACTCCTGCTCCAAACGGTGAGAAAAGCCAATCAAAAATGTTGGAGATTGTTTTAGAGCAAGTAAATGATTATCATCTGCTAAATTCCCTCTTCTTTTTTGTTAGAGATCCAAACAAGCACTCCTGTTACTGTACAAAACAATATCGTTGAAGATGATGAAGAGCTGTTGAACGAAGATGATGACGATGACGAGTTGGACGACCTTGAAAGTGGCGAGGATATGAACACGCAACATCTGGTTCTAGCTCAATTTGATAAGGTAATGACTTTCCTGTTTACATAGTTTCCGGTTGTGTTTTTCTGCACGTAACTCTAATCACAATAAGACATTTTTGGTGTTGTAATTAGGTGACTCGCACAAAGAGCAGGTGGAAGTGCAATCTGAAAGACGGGATCATGCATATAAACGATAAGGACATTCTCTTCAACAAAGTAATATGTGCCTCCCAATTAAGATTGGAGCTATTCTGGTAACGATAAAATACTAACACACTACATGTCTACTTTTTCAGGCAACAGGCGAGTTCGACTTCTGATCTTGACACTAGAAATGCTTTTAGAAAAGTCACAGTCCTTCAAATGTTCAGTGTCTTTCTTTTTACCTTACGATTTAAGACCGACGGAGGGAGACATGATTATTTATGGGAAAGTGTACTCTGGTTGGCTTGTTGTACAAAAAGAAAAGATTTTTCCTGTCGAAGAAGGCGTATCAACTTTGACCTTGTTTCATGAATTCCTATTGTCTTTTACGCAATGGAAAATTAACTTCCCAAAAGCTGGATCTTGCTTACAATTGTATCTAGCTAATATCTTATTACAGCATCTTGAGAAATGGATTAGCAAGAAAAACATAAAGAAACCATCATAAATGCTAAAACCCTCACTGTGAATGATCTACAAGCAGGAACTTGGTCTGAAACATATTCAAGAGACTCATCTGGTCACTATGGTCGACCTTAGCCGAATGCTGCCACCCTTCCTTGTGGTCCATTGAAGGCTGAGATCCGTTCTTCTCACTATTACCCGCCCGAAACGTAAAATCGTGCCCTTCTCTAGAGGGAGAAGCGTGTGGATTTGGATTTATGTGCCCTTCTTTAGAGTGAGAAGAGTGCGAATTTGGAGAGACAAAGAGAGGTGAAAGCAGAGGAATAGCTGCACCTGCAACTGCATCACAAGACTGCTGCACAAAGGGATTCTCGGAAACACGGTCAAGATTCAGAGCTGAGGGAGCTTGCCTCTGCAGCCTAGTCGGTGATCTTGGGGACTCGCTTTTCCCAAACGTGTTAACACTCTTTTCCATCACCGAGATTCAGACTCAAGATTGAGACAATGCGTATAAAAGAGAGGAAAACAGAAAGAGTACTGATGTGAAGAGGAGAGAATAAAAGGGAGAGAGGTGTTTTTGTGTGTTGTCGTTAATGAGGGCGCAAAAGAAACGGTCATTAGCTTTTAATTATGAAGGAACATGTGAAGGAAAATAGAAAATGGCAGTTACTTTGAAACGGTCATTACCTAAACTAAAAAAGTTGCTTCCTTTATTTTCTTTCTTCTTTTGGTTCTACTTTCTCCACTCTGTTGTTGGGTATCGGTTACTTATGTTATGCCCTTTGTGGATCTTACACTTTTGGTCAAAGGCCTAAAAAATGTCAACGTCTTTATTGTTGCTTTGGGTCGTTTTTATGTTTCTACAACATTACATAGAATTTCAATTGGGTTTCGTTCTTTTATAAAAAAAAAATCAGTAAAACCATAAACTGAAATGTGAAATCAAACCTTCACTTGCATTTAAACGATCTCAACAATCGAAAATAATCTTAAAAAAACGTTGACCTTAATTTTGGCCTTTTATGAAACCAAAAGTGTATCACATTAGAAGATACCCAAAGCCAACGACGACATATAGAGAGTAGAGAAAGTAGAAGAAAACAACAACAAAGGAGGCAACTTTATTTGTTTAGTTAATGACCGTTTCAAAGTAACAGCTCCCTCTTTCCTATGTCCTCCACATGTTCCACCATAACCAAACCCTCCTTTTGCGCCATCATTGACAACAACACACAAAACCTCTCTCCCTTTTATTCTCCTCTTTACATCACTCTTTCTAACTTCCTCTCTCGTTCTAGCTTTTATGCTCATTGTCTCAATCTTAGGTCTGAATCTCGGTGATGGAGAACAGTGTAAACATGTCTGGGAAAAGTGAGTCCCCAAGATCACCAACTAGGCTGCAGAGGCAAGCACCCACGGCTCTGCAACTTGACCTTGTTCCCGATAACCCCTTCTTGCAGCAGTCTTGTGATGTGGTTGCAACGACAGCTATTCCTCTGCTTTCACCTCTCTTTGTCTCTCCAAATCTGCACTCTTCTCTCTCTAAAGAAGGGGACAATTGCGTGTTTCCGGTGGGATTTACTGAAAAGAATGGATCTCAGCCGTCAATGGACCACAAGGAAGGGCCGCAATATTCGGCTAAGGCCGACAATAGCAACGAGATGGCTCTCTTGAATATGTTTCAGACCAAGTTCGTGCTTGTAGATCATTCACAGTAAGGGTTTTAGGCTTTTAGCATTTAGGATGGTCTTACTGTCTTAGAATCCAAATGCTTTTCAATAGTCTTGTACAAACCCATTTCTCAAGATGCTGTAATAATAGAGGGCTACATATAATTGTAAGTAAGATCCAGCTTTTGAAAAGTTAAATTCCATTTTGTGAAAGAGGATAGAAACTCATGAAACAAGTCAAAGTTGATACGCCTTCTTCGGCCAGAAAAATCTGTTCTTTTTGTACAACAAGCCAACCAGAGTACACTTTGACATAAATAATCATGTCTCTCTCTCGAAGGTCGGTCTAAATCATAAGGTAGAAAGAAAGACATCCGACATTTGAAGGACTGTGACTTTTCTAGAAGCATTGCGCTAGTGTCAAGATCAGAAGTCGAACTCGCCTGTTGCCTGAAAAAGTATACATGGCCTGTGTTAGTATTTTATCGTTACCAGAATAGCTCCAACCTTATTTGGGAGGCACAGATTACTTTGTTGAAGAGAATGTCCTTATCATTTATATGCATGATCCCGTCTTTCAGATTGCACTTCCACCTGCTCTTTGTGCGAGTCACCTAATTACAACACCAAACATGTCTTACTGTAATTAGAGTTACGAGCAAAAAAACACATCCGGAACCTGTGTAAACAGGAAAGTCATTACCTTGTCAAATTGAGCTAAAACCAGATGTTGCGTGTTCATATCCTCACCACTATCTAGGTCGTCCAACTCGTCATCATCGTCATCTTCGTTCAAGAGCTCTTCATCATCTTCAACGATATCGTTTTGTACAGCAACAGGAGTGCTCGTTTGGATCTCTAACAAAAGAAGGAGGGAATTAGCAGATGATATGCATTTACTTGCTCTAAAACACTGTCAACATTTTTGTTTGGCTTCTCTTACCGTTTGGAGCAGGAGTTCTGGCCTCATTAAAGTCTTCATTGGGTCCTTGATAACTGTATATCTGCAACCCAGTAAATGAAATTTTTGGAATTACTAGCAAAACTAATTGTTGCATGTTTGAGGGCAAATCCAAATGGAACATGAAATTTAAATGAGACGATTACCATTCCTTTCATCACTCATGTAATCTAAGAAGTCAAACGTGTTTATATATATTCAATATCTATGGGAGGTGGTGAGAAGGGATCCAGCTAGTAAGAGATTCTGGTTACTGATTTCTAAACTCGTTGAAATATATAACCACAGAAATTCTGACTACTCATGAAAAGCTGAAGCATTCTTACATTTGGTGTGGACAACATTTCATCATACGGGTCAGGCATTGGCCCATCAACTTGAGGAATCTTCGATGATGAGCAGATAAAATCTCGTGCGATATTTCTATCGCCAACATTGGTTATCCGGAGTGCAGTACATTCAAAGTTTGCCTGAAAAATTGTACTCCCAGCAGATGTTCATGAGATTTCAATAAATAGATCATTCTTGAAAGAAGAAAGATCTTATTACACTGAGAACAGTGCTCCACATCATACTCTAAAGACTTATAGATGCGTTTTTGTTTTTAAACAACTTAACCAGTTTTGTAATCATGTATCTTCTTTTGGATGGCACTCACAAACTTGTGAAATCAAAACCTATCTTCTCCCATATTTACTCGATGATAAATGAAGGGAGCTACGTACAATCTGTTAAACTCATGCGAGTATTCCAAATGCAAAAGCAAATGAGTAGTTTTACACACACACACCTTAGGGATAGCATCGCTTGCACCATCCTGCTGAAGTATAGATCCACCATTTTGATAGTGTGCAGCAGAATCATCACGTTTTCGTTTTCCAGAGGATAATAAGTCCTGGACGTATTCCAATTAAAGATATTAAGTTTTACATATAGTTCAGGTATAGTAGACTAAAAATATATGTACAATGAGGCAAGTACTTGAGATGAGCACTAATCAAACCAATCACGTAACTGTTGCAAAGAAGATTTGAACCCAAACGAAAAAGCCAAACTCACGATTCTTGATTAGATGTTAAGTAGAAGTACCTGCGTAAACTGCTGATTAGAGTTTCCTCTCTCAGGCTCATCACGGCCATCCACATAAGCTAGCAGCAGGTCAGACATTTATATCCCAAACAAAAAAACTGAGACATTAAGTACTGGCAAAACTAGTACTTACCAACATTGACATCAAGTCTAGGATTTGCCCACGGGGAAGGAGGTGGCTGCAATAGAAAAAATATTCTCAGTTTAGGTAAAATAGAAAAACCACAAAATACAAAGTTAATTAATTTTGCCTCTGTAAATTCTATGAAAACAATTAGAAAGCAGTTGCACTTCATAGTTTTACAAGCATGTTTAATAAGCACAGCTCACCATATAAGGACTAGATCTTCCTTTAACATCAAGGTTGACTCCATTCTCATTTCCAGGAGTTGGATAATCACTTGAGCCGGTAGGGATGTTATATATGGAAGAGTTATCAGCAGTACCCGGAAGCGGCGTTGGAAGGGGAGTCTGCAATGGTGTCTGCTCAACACAAAAAAAAAAAAAGCCAACTGATACACCAAAGCATGTTTTCATATCTCAAATCACAGATTGAAGACTAGTGTAAGTTTAATTACCGGAGGAAAGAGCATTTCAGCAGTGGGAGTCTCATACTCCTCTGTACCTTCATAGGGAACATTGAGATCATGCGTCAATGGACCTCCAGGTGTTGGCTTCTGAGCCGATGACCTCTCTATTGGTCCATTCAAGACTCCAGCTTGCATCATCTTCGTCTCCCAAATCTACTCGGACAAAAACACAGGTCCAATTAAGCTCCAAGAATCATGGATTTAAGCCAAGTAAAGGATATGAAATGATGAATTCCGAAAAAACCCTAGTTACTACGGAACAAATCCAAGCCACCCACAACGTCGAATCCACTAAAGATATCAAATTTCAATCATTGATCAGCTCTAATTGAAAACTCACTCCTTGAAGCTCGCTGAGAACGCTCTCGCCAGGACCTCCGTTGTTAATAAACTCCTCTCGGACTTTGTTGACGACATCCTCGATAACATGGATATACACAGCGCTCGTTGTCGTAGTTGTACCCATCTTCTCAGCCTCTCAAATCTCCTTAATTTAGTTCCGGCAAAAAAACGAATTTCGTCCTCCGGGAATCTGAGTTTATCAGAAGCAACATTTTAGGACACTTTACCCAAGAAAATTGCCCCCCAAAGAAAACCCCAATCCAAGCTCGTTACGCTCACCTAGGGTTTGGCAGGAGGCGGTAAGACGGAGTCTGGCCGGGATCGGCGACGAAGCATAGACAGAAAACACAGAGAAGATGAGATCAGAGAGATCGATAAAGCAGCGAAGAATATAAATAGGTTTGGATCAGATCGTGTCGGAACAGTGACACGTGCCATAATCTCCACGATTGTGATTTTATTTCCTTTTTCTCTTTTTCAGATTCTTACAAAAACAAATAAAATTTGTTATTTACGTTTTTATGTGACACCTCGTTGACTTCACCTGATCCATTCTGTTAAAAGGTTAAATGATCTTAATCTTTTTTTTTTTTTGAACAAAAGATGATCTTAATCTTATGAAGCAAAAGAGTTGAGAAATTAAATTTAAACTTTTTCTTTGGCAAGCAAAAAAACTTGTGTAACAACAGACCACTCTTTCTGTGGTTGGAAAAAAAAAAAAAACTAGGCATGGCTCATGATCCAACTTTACTATTGAGAAATGCCTCTTGCATTAATCAAATCATAAAGATTATGATTGCAAGTGTGCAGATTATGATCATCTTGGTGCGGTCAGGCTCTACGGTTAATGCTGAATCCGAAGGAGGATCTGGAATTGGATCAAGGTCATCAAAATCAGATGGCGATGGGGTTGAAATCGAAGGAAGTAGACTGAGATCAAAGTCTTGTGCTTTCCCTTCTCTGCTAAAGCTCCATCCAATAACATAATGACTACTCGTAATGTTTCCTGTGGATGCTGAGAATCCGACATACATTTTCTCCATAAAAATCTCTGAAAGATTCATCTTTCTTGACAAAAGAGGAAATTTAGGTTTAGACGTGTCAAGAGGAGCCAATGTGACATTGAGAAGCCTTTCTACTCCATTGTATTCGATCCAAGCCCGGATCGGATCTTTGCTTGACAGCTTCAGACTTATATTCTTGCTTTGCTTGTTGGAAAAAAATGCAGCAGGTGCAGATTCAACGGATACCAAACCATTCACGTCAATGCCTACGTGGTTATCGTCGATGTCAAGAAACTCGGTGGACTTTACTGTGTCGAATTCGACTGCGAGAATTCGGTTTGTGGAGTTTCCGTTGTTTGTAGTGTTGAAGAGACCGAGAAACTGGCTCGGCATGGCTTGAGTGAAATCCATAGACGGCGAGATGAGAAAGGTTAGGCCATGACCTGGTGCGTTGATTGAGAAAACGAAACTTGTGGAGAAAGAAAGCGTGTTCGATGAGTTAGTACTGTTGTTGAAGGGTATGGGGAAGCCATAGAAGGCTTGACCCATTTGTCTCCTTGAGCTATTTGTTAGCTCCAAGATGCCACTTGGGAGGATCTTGGAGGATCCATACTTGAGTAGATTGGCTTCGAAAAATCCGTGGTAGAGAAATTTGGTTTCGTTTTGTTGACTTAGCACACAAGAAACGAGGCATAATTGGGTGACTATGGATAGAACTATTGATTTGAAAGTAATTGCCATTGATGAGCAACTAAAAAGAAGAATAAAAGTCTGTTTTGTTGATCTGTTTGAAGTTGCTTGTCTGAACTGTTCTCTCATATATATAGGCTTCATGAAAAGAAAGAAAATATCTCGACCAATTGTTAAACTTCTTTAACACATTCAATTCCAAAGAAACTGTAATGTTGAACTGTTCAAGTCTTAGTTTAGCTGATCGTGATAATAAGTCGCAGGGCTAACTTGTGGAGATATATTTAAACTTCCCAAACTAGCATTCAATAAAATAGATTCAAGCAAGGTTTTTGGGAAATATACGTGCAAGTGAGAATCTATACCTATTTGGTTACATAAAGAAAATAATTGATCTTAGTCATGTCATCACTTTAAGTAATTAACAAATGTATATAATCAACAACCGGCTAAACATGAGTATTATTGAGATCTAAAAACTCATTAAAATACAAATAATTAGGATCAGATGGAGGCCTAGTACGTGCACCCAACAATCGAATCCTAAACCACACAAGCTGATAGAAATACTATCATTGGCTAAGAAAAAAAATTACCTCACCTTACTTTTAAAAAAAAAACGAAATTTTTTTTTGTTACTTTTGTTATCCACGTGTTTCAAGCCAGTAACAAAACGAGAGGTCCATGTGTTTCTCAGAAGTTGTTCAGCTATGAGCTATCTGTTTCGTACGTCGAACCAACCATTAAGCTTATCATTCTAACTGATTATATTTGTGGCTATAGTGACTAAATGTCACACACACAAGTCACAACGATGGATATTAACAGGTGGAGTCTTCAAGGAATGACTGCTCTTGTAACCGGTGGAGCAAAGGGAATTGGGTTCGTTTTTTTCCTCTTAAATGCTCTGTTTCTCAATTTCTTCTCTGCTTTTTGATTCCTCTTTGACGAGAATAAAGCAAGTTTGAAACAGAAAGATTTGAGTCTGTGACTTAATTTTAGGTATGCGATAGTGGAGGAACTTGTAGGCTTTGGTGCAAGAGTTCACATCTGTGACAGAGACCAAACTCTGCTTAACGAATGCTTAAGTGAATGGCAAGCAAAAGGGTTTGAAGTCAGTGGTTCGGTATGTGATGTTTCCTCTCGACCTCAAAGAGAGCAATTGATACAGACGGTTTCTTCTCTATTCGGTGCCAAACTCAACATTCTTGTAAGGTTTTCTTCAAGCTTTCATTTAGGTCTTGATTGATTTTTGTGAAGGCAAAAACAAAAGCATAAATTGGTGTTTGGAACATCTTAATAACGTCATTGGTTGCCATTAATTATGCAGATAAACAATGTTGGCAAGTACATATTAAAGCCAACTTTAGAATGTACAGCTGAAGATTTCTCAAGTTTAATGGCTACCAATTTGGAATCTGCTTACCATATCTCCCAATTGGCACATCCGTTACTTAAAGCCTCGGGATATGGGAATATCGTGTTCATTTCCTCGGTAACGGGGGTTGTCTCTTGCACATCCTCCATATATGGTGCAACAAAAGGTTCATAGATGACAATTTTGATGACTAGATGTAATATACACATCTAAGCTTTCTTCATATGTAGGAGCCTTAAATCAACTGGCAAGAAACTTGGCATGTGAATGGGCTAGGGATAACATAAGCGCTAACTCTGTAGCTCCTTGGGTCACTGCAAGTCTGCAACTTCTCTTGTCCAAAAAGTAATCTAAAAACCTTTGCTTTTCATATTGGTAAATCTCTATAACTAACCTAAATCTTGGTTTACGTGTGAACTTATCAGTATCTTGAAGACGAGAAATTTGCGGAAGCTATGCTTTCAAGAACCCCATTAGGACGTGTGTGTGAGCCACGTGAGGTTGCGTCGTTGGTGACATTTCTTTGTCTCCCTGAAGCTTCTTATATAACAGGACAAACCATTTGTATTGATGGAGGTTTCACTGTTAATGGCTTCTCCTATAAGCCAAAGGCTCAAACCCTAGAAACACTTCTACAATTAACTCTTCTATGATGTATGAACATTTAGTCAAGTTTTGACAAAATTTAATGAGCCCAAGCTTATATATGAAGCAGAGATGTTAGAATGGTACGTAGTACTGATTATGTGATTTAACAAAAGTGATTATATGACCATGGACCAGACATCGTATTTAACCGAGTGGTCTGATTATGTGATTTAACAAAAGTGTATTTCTTTCTTTTTTCCTTGTAACTGATGATGATGAAAACAAAGTCATGTCTATTTCTTCTTTCTTTGTAACTGATAATATCAAATCAGACTAATCTGCAATGTATTTACCATCTTGCAAACGTAACTCCAAATGCCTTTTAAGAAAGCAACTCAATATTTAACTATCTACTAGTGAACTAGAAATTAAAGCTCATCGATCTTGAAGAAGAAACTAGAGATTAATTATCTTGCTAATAACATGGCTTTTACATTGGGCCTAAAGTGGACTGTTAAATGGGCCATGTATCAATAACCTCACCCTAACAATTAATAGTTTCTACGGACTTTCATCGTCCGGAAGAGTCATGACTCATGCATGGTGGATTGAATGGGAAAATGAAAATCTTATAGAAGAAATAAATATGAGTCATAAAGGAAAAGAGAGAAGACGAAAGGATGAGGAAGAGGGAGAATCATTACTACTTTTGATGACGTTCTGTTTTCCTAATTAATTGTGCTTTTGATTTCCCGATAAAAAATGGCTTTTAATATTTCTCTAAGAAAGAAAGTCGCTTATAAATCTCAAACAGAGAGACAAGTCTCATTTCTTCTAAACTACTTCAAAACCCTAACTTTCCTTACCCTAATATCCTTCTGCCTTTTTAGCTAAGGTTGCTTCTGAAACGAAATGTGTGTTTGTAACTACAAACATTGATACTCGTCTGGGCCTTCTCCTGGACAAGAGTATGATAGTGTTTCTACTTTCAAAGGTGACTCTTTTTTCTTTTTTCTCTTCTTTTTTTAGTTTGGCATTGCTTTTTTTTTGTAACGAAACTCATGTTTCTTGTCTATTTACAGACAAAATCTGTAAGGAACATGAACAGTGTTTCCCAAGTTTTGGGAAAATCACCATCTCTGCTTTGAAGGTTACAATATTTTCTTCATACACACTGTCATTTCTTTAAGCAACAACTTAAGGAATGGTTGTTTTTTGTTTTGTAGGTTAACTGTGGTGGTCAATTTAGACGAGTATCAATGTTTGTAGTTACAAACACACATTCCGTTTCAACCAATTTAGACTTTGTTTTCATCATCATCAGTTACAAGGAAAAAAGAAAGAAATACACTTTTGTTAAATCACATAATCAGACCACTCGGTTAAATACGATGTCTGATTATGTGATTTAACAAAAGTGATTTAAATACGATGTGAATGGTAGTACGTTTGTGTTAGAAAAATTTGGATTCCATGGTCACCTCTCAAGATACGGGCCTAAGATTCGTTGATATGGACAATACATTTGTCATGGAAGATTTGGATCCTCTGCGTCTGAGATTCCTGATGGACCCGGCCCATCATCTTCACCTTTTTATCTCCAATTTTTAATTTTTTTTTTGGTTTAATTTTATTTTACCTCCAATTATTGATTGATGATCAATCAACTTTATGTCTGCTCCACTTATTCTCTTCACATCAATCTGAGCTCTTTAGCCGTAGGAGAGCAATGGCTGGAGCAGAGCAAAGCCAAAGATGGAGTCTTAAGGCCAAGACCGCACTTGTAACCGGTGGAACCAAAGGCATCGGGTTCGTTTCTAATCTTGATTTAGCTCCAAATCTTTCCATGTTTCTTGAAAGCATTATACTTTAACTTTATTTTAACCTCTAGTTTTTGAATAAAATAGGCATGCTATAGTAGAGGAATTTGCAGGATTTGGTGCAGTAATACATACTTGTGCCAGAGACGAATCTCAGCTTAACGAGTGTTTAAGCAAATGGCAAAAGAAGGGTTTTCAAGTCACAGGTTCGGTCTGTGACGCATCTTCTAGACCAGACAGAGAGAAGCTAATGCAGACTGTGTCTTCAATGTTTGGTGGCAAGCTCGATATCCTCGTAAGTTAATCTTTTTTCTACTCTTTATCATTTATCCAAAATCTTGGTTAATGTAATCTTTTGATAATTAGATAAACAATGTGGGAGCGATTCGGTCAAAGCCAACGGTGGATTATTCAGAAGAGGATTTCTCGTTTCATATTTCGACAAACTTAGAATCTGCTTTCCATCTGAGCCAGCTTGCACATCCTCTGCTTAAGGCGTCAGGATGTGGGAACGTCGTTTTCATGTCCTCTATTGCTGGAGTTGTATCGGCTAGTGTCGGATCCATCTACTCTGCAACAAAAGGTTTTATACTAATTATTGAATACTGCCACCAAGAAAACAGAAACACATCTCTGTTTGAGACTTTTAGCAGAGCTTTTTTGTTTTTTTTTTTCTTACAATAGTTTTCACATGTAAATGCAATGCATAGATTGGTTTTTGAAACAATCTAAGGCCTTGATGTGTAAGTGTGTGTGTGAGTCATAGGGGCAATGAATCAGCTAGCAAGGAATTTGGCATGTGAGTGGGCTCGCGATGGCATTAGGGCTAATGCTGTGGCGCCTGCAGTCATTGCAACTCCTTTGGCTGAAGCTGTGAGATTATTCCTAAGCTACATTATCTCCAAGATTAATCTCTGTTTCTTGCTTTTGCTGATCTCTTGACTTTGATGATGATCTATACTTAGGTGTATGATGATGAGTTCAAGAAAGTGGTGATATCAAGAAAGCCGCTGGGGCGTTTAGGGGAGCCTGAAGAAGTGGCATCGCTTGTGGCTTTTCTATGTATGCCTGCATCGTCTTATATAACTGGTCAGACCATTTGTGTCGATGGAGGTCTCTCTGTCAATGGCTTCTCCTATCAGCCACAAGGTTAAATCCAATATCTAAAAACAAACAAAGTTTCATCTTCATTACTAAATTTCAGTGTCCAGACTTTGAACATTGTCATCTTGGGCTAAGTCCGGTTTGGTATGGATTCTCGTCTGGAGATTTAGAAGGAAACTTCAATATTCTGATTTTGAATTTTGCTTCGATTTTCAGTTCCTTTGCCCAAAGTATGTGACATCACTTCACTAAATAAATATGTAAAATATAAAGTAGTATTTTGTCATCCCAAACAAAACAATTCGGGCTTTTATCCTGATCCAGAACATCATCTGTCTGTTTCCACAAAATACATGCATACGCTCATATTCTCTGTAGTCAATTTTGGCATGCACCGCATGTTTATTTTTTGGACGCAAGTGTAACTTTTTCTATTACAAAATTGATCGATTTCATCTCATGAGTGATTACAATAATTTGTGGTCAATATAATGAATGTACAATTTTATTTAGATAATATATATATATATATATATATATATATATATATATTTTTTTTGGTAAAAGATAATATATTTTTGTAAGGAATTAAATTCCCAACAAATAAAAATCTTATAATCATTTAGTAATAGGTTAATAATTCTTATTATTTTTGCGCTATGGCTAATAATTTTGGACCGGTATTTTGCGTACTTATATATGTATATGTATATCAGTATATAGGAGACTTTCAAACTTCAGAAAATACCTAAGACGAATCTTTTCAGATCGATCAGCTATAGAAGCCTAGAAATATAACTTAATTAGTGTTTTCAAGTAAAGAAGCTGTTTTTTTTTTCATAAAACGTATCGATCTTGTTATAACATAAACTATGCATATAATCCAAACGGTTTAGTTTGAAATATTAACACCCCGCGCGAGTTATCAGTAAACTATTCAAAATGTGTAATATAATGTCTGAAAGCAAAAATAACTTCTTGACCTTCCACCACTACGACTAGTTGTCACGATGCAATAAATGTAATTAAATTGGTTATTTGTTTGTTTCTTTACTTTTTTAGTTTATTTCAACTTCTAATTTAATTTCAAAAGTTCAAAGAACCTAAAATTAAACGAGAAGTGGTGCAAAAAAAAACAGAAATTAAATAACCACGTAAGTACAAGACCCTGGATGTATCGTAAGCCTAGGTCGAGGTGCATGCCACCATGCACACTAAACTTTGGATATTTCTATTAAACTAATACCATCTTTATCAAATCATATTTTAATAATAAGGTCATGATAACTCATACGCTACATTCCAAAAACAGAAACTGAATGATTTTGTCACCTACCAATGCATGATTCTAGCAGCTTCAGTATTGGGAGTCAATTTCAATTACAGTGATTTTGGTTGGATCGGTGGGTACACGAACGATAGGCCCCATTTAATCCTCAACATTTGCATTTTAATGAATTTTAGATTTCAGTAACACTCATCACAATTATCTTATTTTAGTTTCTGATGGTCTTATTCACAATATGCTATATTTACTTTTCCCCAATCTCATCTTTTACCTTATTGCTAGATCATGAGCAAAGCTATTGATTCATGATTATAGTAGCACTTAAATGAGATCGACTACATCGTGTATTTTACAAGTGTTGTGAAACCAAATTAAAGATGAAAAAAAAATTGTAGGTGGTACATCAATTAATGTCTGCTTTTATTGGGGTGGATGTATTAATTAATGAAGTATTGATTTCTATGAAGAAGACTAGCCAGGTGAGGGCATATGCAAGGGTATAACATATGGTGTGTTTTTAAGGGTTTTAAAATAATAAAAATGTTGAATAGTGGGTACAACTGTTCTTAAAATTATAAAAACTGTTCTTCAGGAAGAACAGTTTGCAGGATAACTGTTCTTAAGTTACAATTGTTCTACCACTGTTTTTATTATTTTAATCCTAAGAACAGGGAAAGAGTTATAGCGATGTGGATGGTCTGAGAGCTTAGATCTTGAGATCTTGAAAACATCCAATAGAATTATAGAAGAGTAGTACTGCCTATAAATGACATGAGAATGATAATGCGCTGTAAATGTTGTTGTTAAAATGATCAAATGGAAAACTAGTTATTATTTAATTCATCACTGCTATTACGTAACAAGTTTTTACGATGATTATGGTATTTATGGTTAAATCAATTAATTAAAGCAATAGTATATCGTTGATAAATCGTAAGATTCGAAAAGTAAATAATTAAAGATTTTGCGGTTATTCATTTATAAGCAAAATGTTATCTTATGCAATGTCTACATTTGCAACACCACTTAATTCGGGGAGACCACAAAAGATTCTCACCACTCAAAAACATTGCGTTCAACATTTGAATAATAGTTAGATTTAGAGTACGGATTTAAAGAAATTAACTATAACGTATATATATAAGATAATAATAAATACAATCATGAATTTAAATCCAAATGTGTCTCCATCAAATGGATTTGATATTAATTAAGCACGAGATCAACTAGATTTCACGCAACAAAATCTCGTATGTTTAATTACCTGTAAAGTTGGGATGTGTCTTTAGTCAAGTGGTTAAGTCCATTTGGTTCCGTTTTTTCACCGGAGATCGACTCCACTAAATCGCGTTACTTCGCGTAGTAGATATTAGTTATAAATCGGACCTTATCGATCTAATAATGTAAAAAAAAAAAAAAATTACCTGTAAAGCTCTAATTGAATTCATGATTACCTAAACAATCCTCGGTAATTAAAAATTGAGGCCTCACTAGTCACACTATGAAGTAGAAGAAAGTTAAGAAAGAGAAAGCCGTACAAAGGACACGTAATTGTCTTGGGATTAGGAGTTTTGTTAACCGTTAAAAGCCACAAAACAATTTTTAAAAACAAAACAAAAAGAAGAGAGAAAAAGGCTTTTTGGTGAAGCAGTGGCCCAACCAATAACCTCTACGTTTCTCTTTTGTTCCATTCCGGCGAGTGGGTCTCACCTCTTTTATTAGAGAATCTGAGGGCTCTATTTTAAACACAAGCTTGTCATCGTTGACTAGAGAGAGTAGAGAGACTTGAGACTAGTGAAGAGACAAAGTGACCTAACTTCTCTGCAACAGTAGTCAGTAAATATCCAGGTATAAGAGCTACGATGGCAACAAGTGTACGGTGGAGAAAAATAGAGCCCTCAGATTCTCATAAAGGAGGTGAGACTCACTCGCCGGAATGGAACAAAAGAGAAACGTAGAGGTAAATGGTTGGGCCACTGCTTCACCAAAAATCCTTTTTCTCTCTTCTTTTTGTTTTGTTTTTAAAAATTGTTTTGTGGCTTTTAACGGTTAACAAAACTCCTAATCCCAAGACAATTACGTGTCCTCTGTACGGCTTTTAACTAGTGAGGCCTCAATTTTTAATTACCCGAGGATTGTTTAGGTAATCATGAATTCAACTAGAGTTTTACAGGTAATTAAACAAATGAGATTTAGTTGCGTGAAATCTAGTTGATCTCGTGCTTAATTATATCAAATCCATTTGATGGAGACACATTTGGATTTAAATTCATTATTGTATTTGTTATCTTATACGTTACAGTTAATTTCTTTAAATCTAACTATTATTCAAATACTGAACGCAATGTTTTTTAGTGCTGAGAATCTTTGTGGTCTCCCCGAATTAAAATTGGAACTTCTGCAACGAATTAATCTATAAGAGATGCGGATAGAAATAAGGATATATATATACCCTACTTATTAGTAACCCTACTATTTGTTTTAAAAATTAGGTAAATGATTTTAACTTTGTTTCATATATCAACTAAATGATTTTGGTATTAGATTACAAATGCAGCTTCAACTAAATGAGTATGTTTAAGCACGTACTACGAGACACAAATATTTCAAGCATTATTTTGGTAAAAAAACATCATAGCGACTATAGTCAAAAGCACTTGTTATGATGATAGAAAGTTTAAAAACATCTTAAAAGATTTTACTTGGATCATAGGATTGTGTTAGCAATATAAAAGATTACAATGTTGTTACTCTAAATGACAACAACTACAATAGTGTCCGATACAGAGTCTAAACCAGCCTACAAATAAACAATTCTCTCTTCAAAATCAAACAAATGCATGTCGCCGTTTCTTTGGAGATTTACAAATCTCAGTCCATATACACAGAAGATGGTTTGGGAAAATAAACACACATTTACGTAATTTGATGTTAAGTGTGACTATAGAAAACTATAGAATTTTATATGAAAAGTTAACGTACGTGTCTAGTGTAACCTAATTGTAGTACAGTATATTAATTCGTTAGTCTTGAAAAATCGACCTAATTTAGATCAAATTAAGGTTAACTACAATCACAATTTAACTAACGTAATGGGATTTTTTTAAATTATAATATCGTGATTAAGAATTTAAGATAGATCTTTTATCTTTAAGGGAGACAGAGAGACAATTTGGACAAAAAAGGTCTTCCTGAGAATAGAAGTGGACCACAATCGTGGCGCGAAAGGAACTTCCTCTTTCCTGTGTGTTGCATTTTGATTGGTCCACGTATATCTCTCACCTGATCGTGATGCTTACGTGGTCCATTTCTAGACACTATAGTGACCAGATCAACGGTCAAGATTAAATCTAGTTTAGACACAAGACCAATACGTCACGTCGTTAAGAGTAAGATTTTTTGAAGGCGGAGGGAGAAAAATCTGAAAAATCAAAGTTAAAAGTAATTTGAAAACGAGAAAAAAAAAGGAATTTTAAAATGTTTTGTGAAGCGGTAGGCGCGTGGGTATATAAATGGGGCACGCTTTGTAACGTGTAACGATGATATTTATTCAATTGCATGGTATAACCAAAAACACTATTCGACTCTTCTTTTTTTTGTAATAAAAATAAAATAAAAATCGGAGACAGATATTTCACCGGAAATTAATTGACGATCAAAAGATTTGTTACCGGAAAATCTAGTGGAGACGATCGAGTTATGGCGGATATTTGTTACGAAGACGAGACGTCTGCTTGTGAATCGAGACCGTCGTGGTCTAGCCGGAAGTGGAGGATCGGTGTTCAGCGATTCAGGATGTCTCCGTCGGAGATAAATCCCACGGCTTCGACGGCGGAGGAGGAGGAGGATAAGAAATCTGAGGGGATTTATAATAAGCGAAATAAACAAGAAGAGTACGATTTTATGAACTGTGCATCATCATCACCACCACCTTCTCAGAGCTCTCCTGAAGAGAGTGACGTCTCCGTCTCCGATGGAAATTCATCGGTTAATGATATTACACTTATTCCTGCTAAGAAGACGGTTAAAGAGACGGATCTGAGGCCGAGATACGGCTTCGCATCGGTGTGCGGGAGAAGAAGAGATATGGAAGATGCGGTGGCGATTCATCCGTCTTTTGTACGGAGACAAACGGAGTTTTCTCGAACAAGATGGCATTATTTTGGTGTTTACGACGGCCACGGCTGTTCTCACGTACGGCGCCGTTTTGCCCTAATTTGAATATCTATTATTTTACGGGGTTTGCCTGATTGAGTACGGCGTCGGTTTTGTAGGTTGCGTTGAGGTGTAAAGAGAGACTTCACGAGCTAGTGCAAGAAGAAGCTCTCTCGGATAAGAAAGAAGAATGGAAGAAGACGATGGAGCGTAGCTTCACGCGCTTGGACAAGGAGGTTGTTCGTTGGGGTGAAACTGTGATGAGTGCTAATTGCAGATGTGAGCTTCAAACTCCTGACTGTGACGCCGTTGGATCCACCGCAGTTGTTTCCGTCATTACGCCGGAGAAGATTATTGTTGCGAATTGTGGTGACTCAAGAGCAGTACTTTGTAGGAATGGTAAAGCAGTGCCTCTTTCCATAGATCACAAGGTCAGTCTTTATCTATCTATCGAAATGTTGTTTCTTGATTTGTTAGATTTAGTGGATTTTAACTCTTGTTTTACGTTTGAAATGAGCAGCCGGATCGTCCGGATGAGCTGGATCGAATCCAAGAAGCAGGAGGACGAGTGATATACTGGGACGGTGCAAGAGTCTTAGGCGTTTTAGCCATGTCACGAGCCATAGGAGACAACTATTTAAAACCGTACGTGACTTCCGAACCGGAAGTGACCGTGACGGATCGGACTGAGGAAGATGAGTTTCTGATTCTAGCAAGCGACGGGTTATGGGACGTAGTGACAAACGAGGCGGCGTGTTCGATGGTTCACACGTGCTTGAACAGAAAAAGTGGTCGTGGAAGACGGCGAGGAGAAACTCAAACACAAACTCCGGGAACCAGGAGTGAAGAAGAGGAGGAGAAGGTGGTGGGGTCAAGAAAGAACGGGAAGAAAGGAGAGATCACGGACAAAGCATGTACGGAGGCGTCAGTATTGCTGACGAAGCTGGCGTTGGCAAAACACAGTAGTGACAACGTAAGCGTCGTCGTTATTAATCTCAGAAGAAGAAGAAAGAGACACGTTGCTTGACACTAATCTCATCATCACTCTTACTCCAACTTTTTTGTTTGTTTAAAATGATTCTTTTTTCTTCACATCTTTGAACCCAAAAGAGAGAAAAAAAAATGGGTGAATTAAATCAATAACCATTTCTGATAAAATATTTAAGAATATAGCACTATAACTTGAAAAATTAAGAGAATAGTACATGGGCTTTGTTAATGACGATTTTAACCTCACCTTCCACTCCAATACCAACACCAACTTTGCCATCGTCTTCATCACTAAAACATTAATCCTTTCCGTCGCCGTCATTATAACCTCTACTCACGTTGCCCTCACCACCAACCCTCGTCGCCACCATCAACTTTCGTCGCCGTTATCACCAACGTAACCACCGAGCCATCATCATCACCAATAACTCATAGCCAATTCTCTTGTCGGATTTGTCCCCGTCGAACCTATTTCTCTCTCTGCCAATCTATCGATATTCCGGCCATGATGAACTCTCCAGCGCGAATATAATTGTCGGCATATGATTTTGTTGGTGATTGTCCAAGATCGCGGCCGGATTTTCTACAATACTGGCGTCGGTGATGGAGGTGACTGTAACTCCGACGAATTGATTGGTTTTGTCTTAGGGTCAATTTATGTCAAAAATACAGGAAATACACACAATATCATTGGACTTTTTTTTTTGATTAGTTACCTAATTATAATATTTTTGTATGTTATAGCTGTAAATTTTCCAAAAAAAAAAAGCATTAGTTATAAAAAAATACCCGGTTTATTGAAAGCGGTTAAACCGGGGTATGGTTGTTTTTTTTTTTTTTTGCCTTTTTTCTTTTTGTGTAATGAACAAACAAAAAAAGAAAAGAAAACGGGATGTCACTATCTAGGTGGAATCAGTTAATTGGGAAAAGAAATTCAAAATCTCACGGAAATGAAGAGAAAGAGAAGATAATTGGGAAGAGGAAGGAGTACGTGTCGAAGAGGTAAAGATAGAAACCCTACACCACGGAAAAGGGACGTGACCCACCCAAGGAACGATGCATGTGTTATATGCGCATTCGTACATGTCGGTGTCGGGTAATTGATTGAGATCTGAATATGACCTAATTGAGTGTTTTATCTAAACATGATCACTGATCAAATGAAAAGTCAATATTAAGTTACCTGTCATGTAATAATTCAATAATTCATTCAGGTGGTGGAAAACCAATTCAGTGAATCCACGCGTATCAAATGGGCCAGGCTGAACCAACAATCCCAAAGCATTTGGGCCGAGAATTTTGTGCTGATAAATTTTCATCTGAATTCCCAACCTACCCCAAAATTAGAAATCAAGCTAAAACACTTGCACATTTTTTTTTTTTTAGAATCTTGGGTGATCCGAACCAACAATGAACTGATGTATACAAGCTTCGTACTGCACGAGAACTTGAGCGACCAGCCAGACTTAACACCTAGGGATATACCAGCTCAAAATGCATAAATCTTTTGAGAACGGAAAACAACACAAGCTAGCCTCATTTTAAGATCGTATAGGATCAGTGAGTAACGCCAATCTTTTACCTGTTTGCATACCTCGTGAACAAAGGAATTGGTAGCACAACATCTAACCTTACTCGGTACAGAGAAACGAGAGAAGGATATTACCCATACAAAATGTTTTAGTTGCCCAACCTAAACACATACTGAGTCGAAGTAGCAAATGTTTGTTCAAATATGCCACACGAGTAGCAATTCTAGTCAGACATAATAAACTAAGACACATGACAGTCGCAGCAACCTGAAAGCAAAATGTTATAGAAAAGGAGAGGTTGCAGAATAAGACCTCTCTAAGACAAATGTACTCTGCAATCCAAACTGGTAATTTCACGTTTGTTTCATGTCACCGTTTTCTTTAAGGGTCTTCAGTCTTCTGTAGCCCTTGTCAGTACCAAAGATCCTGACGAACACAAGAGACGAATTATACACTGGACTATTCATATCAGGATAACTAGTTAAGATCTTTTCTCGAAAGCAAAGAGAAAATAAATAGTTCAGGGGTTCACCAGTCCATATACACAAAAGTTGAAGAGTAGTTTCCAGACTTTGTGTATAGCAGTCGGTGATGGTAGTCATGGAAGTCAGCACTGTAACCAAATCACGAAAATAAAAATCCATTAATACAAATGTCTTATAGTTTTAAGTTCAAGAGAGCTGGCTAGATGTGTGATTTTACCCTCCATACAGAGGAAGAAAATTTGACAGGCTCCATGGGAAATGATAACCACAATGTGCCTCAACTGTCTCAAGCACTCTCAGCACCATCCATAACCAGAGAGTAATCAGGTGAGGGCCAGTAAGAGCTGGACCGACTATGGTAGCAAAACCCAGGAATAGAATCTCAGCGGGGTGAGCATATTCTGATGTCAAACCAAATGGTGTGGCATATCTGTGATATCATAGAATGGTTGCTTTTCAGAAAATTATCTAAGCTAACATTTTCAAGTATCAAGATTGAAAAAAAAATGGTGAACATTGAAACTTACTCATGATGCACACTGTGCACGTTCTTATACAGCCATTTTGAATGCAAGATCCGATGACCCCAATAGAAGACAAAATCCTCAATGATGAAGTAGAATAATATCTGGGCAGACACTTCTTTCCTGCAGGACCATCACCAAAGAGGGTCTTATATACCTGATCAAACATAAGCTCAGGTTCTTTCATGATGCTCAACACTGACAGCTTTTGATTATGTCTTTGTTTTTTCTATTGCCAATTGGAAGAGTTTAACATCAATACCAGGACGGTAGAGGAAAACTGCTTCGCATTCCCATGGCTCTGAAGACAGGATAGGAGGCCATCATCAGGGGCAAGTTTACGCAGAAATGATAAAGCAACAGGCGAGTAATACATTTTCCTTGGGCTGCAGGTGTGTTGTTTTTTGTCTGCACAGGACCAAAACAAAAGTATTTGTTGATCATAAAGGGTAAGAGAAGCAGAGAGAAGGATCAGATTCACAATCACTAGTAATAGTTGCAAAGGGAATATAGTTATTCACTTTGATCAGTGAAACAACATTTGCCTTTACAATCAGTCACAAGAAAACACTTTCTCGTGTGACTGATTCTTGGGGATCAACCTCTACACAATCATATTCAAACCATCACACAAAGCAACAATCGCATACATAGAAGTCACTTGGAACGATGAAGAAAAGGAAGAGAATAAACCTGAATTTTGTACTTGCTGAGAAAGCCTTGCCTTTCAAGATAAATGAAAGGGAGTCCAGATAAGAAAAACACGCTCTCATGGAGGAGAAAACTCCCAATGCAGGCCAGTTGGAAGTCGCTAAAATGTGTCACAAGGTACTGCATCAACCACAGAAATGAAACATATGATCAGCTATAGATACAGCATTTCTGTGCTGAAGGAGAACTCATGATAGACAATACGCGCAAAACACCAAGGAAAGGAAACAAATACTTTCATTAAGCAAAAACTAGTATTGAAGAACATATTCCAGGAAACACTATTGCTTACCAACACTTGTTTCAGTGATCCAAGTTAGGGACACAAGACACCCAAAATGCAGAGTATGTATAAGAAACAAGAACAATCCCTCTGGAAGGAAAGATCAAATGAGAAATACTCTTATGGACCCGAAAACCAATGCATAACCGCGTTTTTGTCGATTTTGGTTACCGACCATTGGAAAGTCCGTAAGCAAAACCGATCGAAGAGAGAGAGCACAAAAGAGACTTGATTATGATACATGTGTGTCTAGGTCCCGTATCAATATCTACATCCATTTAAGCTCTAAGCAAACAAACGGAAACTAAAAATACGGTCAAAATTCGTCGTGATATGGAACTAGCATAGTCAAATTCAGATCTAAAACAGTACTGCAATCGACACGAAACCAAATTCAATCCGATGGATCAATGCGATCCAGAGAGGTGGATAACAACCGCATGTATCACAATGCGGTGAACTGAAGTCAGCGAGACGGAGATAACTAAGGAAACCGCCGGAAAACGAGATAATCGGAAGCAGGATTAGATAGATGAAGATTATGAGAAAGAGAGAGAGAGTACCTGCCAACCAGATTCGACGAGGGAAGCCATAGATGGATCTATGAGAGACAGATGGGAAGGTGTAGAAGAAGAAAGTGGTGGGAGAGAGGCCACGCAGTGAAACAAACAACAGACTGTCACGACAATGAAATGATATCTGGCAACTGAGATATTTTTTGATTTTTTTCACCAACTTTTTTTTTTTTTTTTTACTTATCGTTAAGACCACTCTCTCCATCAGAGCCAGGTCCTTTTTGGTACATAATAAATGAATGCGAAGATGCGAACACATCCCCACGTGCACATCACCCTCCTCCACCTCCCTAGTCCCTATTTTAGGTTTTATTTTATGGTCTCCACTTTTTTAAAAAAAATTTGGCACAATTTTTACATGACAGGTAACTTAATATTGACTTTTTATAGTTGACCTAATTGTGTGTTCTAATTAGTATTTATAGTATATTTTGCTTTGAATTTTTGAAACCAGATTTGAAGTTGTGAAAAAAATTATAGGATTAAAACCCATTAAGGCCAAAAAAAGTTGACCAACAGTTTATAGACCACTTTGGCTGCTACTATTCCAATGAGCATAGAAGAAAACTAATCCTGAGGAAATCATTTTAGATAAGCAAAGAGTTTCATCTGTGAATATGTCTCCAAGAGATTTTAGATCAAAATATAAAAAAAATTCTTTCTTTTTTAGAAAATGGTGTGAATGATCACAGTTTCAATACAACTAAAACAAAATCTTGTATCATAAATTCGATACGATACGGAAAAACAAAGACCAGGAAAGAAAAAGGTATGCTGTACTTGCTGAAATTAAGCCAAAAAGGAAGAAAAGAACTGGTAAAAAAATCAGAAGAGATATTCTTGAAAACTCAAACGTGTGATTGGTTGATTAGTCATCGCTATAGTTGGATGTAACTAGGTAGAACAGCATCCTTTTCTATTAGTTGCAGATGAATCTGATATATTGATCGCAGTTCCTTGCCCCGGAAGATTACCTGCAGCTTCTTGTGCAGCTAAAGCTTTCTTGCTTATGATATGATAAATCTCAGACAAAATAGTCTGAAAGGCTTTCTCAATGTTAGTTGCTTCTAAAGCAGATGTCTCGAGAAACGACAAACCTTCCTTCTCGGCGAGAGAGCGACCATCTTCATCAGCAACAGATCTCAAGTGATTAAGGTCTGATTTGTTTCCAGCCATCATGATAACAATGTTGGAATCAGCATGATCCCTAAGCTCACGTAACCATCTCAGGACATTCTCAAAAGTTTGCCTTTTGGTTATGTCGTAGACAAGAAGAGCTCCAACAGCTCCTCTGTAGTAAGCACTTGTGATTGCTCGATAACGCTCTTGACCTGCAGTGTCCCAAATCTGAGCCTTCACTGTTTTGCCTTCAACCTAATCAGATTACACACATAGAAGCATGACCAAAAATATCAGGCTTTAGACATTCCAATTGCTACAGTTACATTTCAAACAAATCCCATAACCTAAAGATCTACAGATCTAACAATCACATGTCTGAGAATGCCTACAATGATCAGAGGATTCAAATACAACGATACATCAAAGACAATCTAAGCTTAAACGCAATCGAAATCGAGAGAGATCATCTGGATTTCGAGAATTAGAGGGAAAGGAGATGACCTGTAAAGTACGGGTGGCGAATTCGACGCCAATGGTGGATTTGGATTCGAGACAGAACTCATTTCTGGTGAAGCGAGAGAGAATGTTGGATTTACCAACACCGGAATCGCCGATCAGGACGATCTTGAACAAGTAATCGTACTCATGATCTATTCGATTCGCCATTGCTTCTCAAATCCTAGCGTCCGATCAACCTACGCATATACACACACACACACATTCACGTCAACATCGATCGAAGAGATGACAACAAATAACCGTCTCGCAAATCGAAACCCTAGAAAATCGAATTTACCCTTTGAGCAAGCCGGAATGATCGAGAATGGAAGAATTGTTTTTTTTTTTTTTTTTGTAATTAGTTTTGTTTTTCCTTTTGTTTCTAATAAGTCTCTGTTTCTTTTCCTTATACGTTGCGAGTTTTGTGCCCAAGAGGTGAAAACGGAAACACCCATTTATTTAGTTTCGAATTTTGAGATTCTTTTTTGTTTACCACGAAAGAAATAATTTCATTCAATTTCAACTTTTTGTTATGTCCTTGTACAAATCAAAGATCAGTCAGTTTAAATATATGAGACAGATTATATTTTACGTTACCCTAAATTTGCAGATCTACATTCAAAAGCCAACATTTAGACTTGAGTTTAGTTGGTCTTATCAGGGTTAAAATCGAATTTACGGCTAAAATCATCAGAAAAGAGCAATTGAAAAAGGAGAATATAATGGCCGTAATTAAATATTAGGATTAACAGTTAAATTACATCATAACCACAACACAGAGCCATGTTCAAATCAAACACCATAATATGGAGTCTAAAGCATAAACACATAAACATGAAATCCATAAGGCCATAACATAAGCTAAATGTCCGAGAAAATATCAATCCGAATGATGAATGTCCGAGAAAACGTCGCTAACGATCAATAACCAAAATCCACTTAATTTTCATATATCACTATATAAATTTAATATCCAAACAATAAAACTAAAAAAACCCACAAAAAACTTTTAAAAATTCGAATAAAAAACTTGAATACTAAATCTAGATAATGATGTAGAAAACAAGTTAGATTTATGGAATCGCTAACGACTAATGCTGGATTCAAAATCCGGTTAGTTTTCATATATCACTATGTAAATTTGGTATCTAAAATAATAAAATTTCAAAAAACAAACATAAAAAAAAACCTTTTAAAAATCCGAATAAAAAACTTCAATACTAAATCTACATAATGATGTAAAAAACAAGTTGAATTTGTGGAATCGCTAACGACTAATGCTGGATCCAAAATCCGGTTAGTTTTCATACATCACTATATAAATTTAGTATTTTTAAAAAAAGCTTTTAAAAATCCGAATAAAAACTTGAATACTCAATCTACATAATGATGTAGAAAACAAGATGAATTTGTGGAATCGCTAACGACTAATGCTGGATCCAAAATCCGTTTAGTTTTCATATATCATTATGTAAATTTAGTATAAAAAAAAAAAAGCTTTTAAAAATCCAATAAAAAACTTGAATACTAAATCTACGTAAGGATTTAGTATCACTATGTAAATTTAATATCAAAAATAATAAAATTTCAAAAAACAAACATAAAAATAGCTTTAAAAATCCGAATAAAAAACTTGAATAATAAATCTACATAATGATGTAGAAAACAAGTTGAATTTGTAGAATCGCTAAGGAGTATCCAAAATCCATTAGTTTTCATACATTACTATGTAAATTTAGTATTAGAAAAAAAAACAGAAAAAAAAAAGAATGAAAAAATTATTACCTGGTTCGAGTTGGGTAGCAGAGATGGCCCATACAATAAAGCCCATTGGCAAGGGCAGAAGTAAGCCCACCGTTGTCTCGTGACATCATCCTTCATCCATCCTCACTGAGGTTGTTTTTGTCTTCTTGTTTTGATATTGTTGTCTTCTTGTTTTGATATTGTTCTTCATCTCCGGCGAATGATTGATGATTCTCTTTGTGTAGTCTCTAATTTAAGACATCGAATTAGACTTCGGAATCTGCTCCTCGATATCTCTGCCCCGATCTCTTCTTATCCTCTTTCTTCGTCATGCTCGATTGGCTAAGGACAGAGAAGATGTTGAAGATCATTCAATCACGAAACTGAGATGATGAACTCACACGGCTTACTTGAATTTCGATTCTTACATGCATGGATCATCATCGGCGTTCGATTCTCCGTATCTAGATGAGAACTGTATCAGGTACGGAGAAAAGAAATAGATGATAGATTTTGGTTTTTGGTTTTCGTTTCTGGAAGAAGAATAATGAGAATAGAGAATTTTGATTTCTCAACAAGAAGAAGAATGGTTGAGACTCCGAGAGTATATATTTATTTATAAGCGATGGTTGCGTTTTTCAAAAGCACAAAAAGGAAATTTATCACAAGAATTTCCTTTTTTTTTTTTTAAGGTTGAGTATTTCCTTTTTTTCGACGAGTTTTGGTCTTTTTCCTTTTCTATATAGATAATAGATTTGGGGGATTTAATTAGATTACACAAAGTATGCTGAAGAATATCAACTCCATTGTCTCCCTGATACTTATAATGTGCACGAAAGAGTTACGGTGTAAGAAGAAACAGATGGAGATGATTATCCTGAACCAATACAATCCTCAAGAAACTTTTAAAGTTCCCAAAAAGCCAAAGGCTCAAATACCCGATTTCTGACTCTTTCAATTTCAAGTATGGCTCTTTTCGGCCGTTATGTTTTCTGGGCTCTAATGGGCTTCTCAGGCCCAAATATTATGAGTTGCAATTCCTTAGATATTGAAATTTGAACTGGTATCATCATGTTACACATTTTGTCTTCAAAAGCTTTCTCTCATCCCAACTTGGATCAACTGAGAAGCATTTCAACAATCGTTTGTTCCAGTGGGATCATTATTATTTAAGCAATACATACAACAAGGATAACACGAAACTTGAACTCCTTGATCAAAGAGGATAATATGGTGGTGTACCTCTTGGCGAGCCACGGAATCAGTTGCAGATAGAGGAACGCTTGAACCGTAGGAGATGATGAACGCATAGATCTACACGATAAAACCATTCTCGGGACCATCGTGTGTCTATGCAGAGGAAAGTAAGCAAGGCCAAGGATGTAGCTATGTAGACTGCAACACAAGTCCAGTAAAACCACACCATGTCTATCACATCACCTTCTTCTTCGTTGTCTTCCTCTTTGGCCTGCGTTGATACACTTGGTGGCTCAGGGACTCTCTGGGAGATGCAATTTTTATTTGTAGGAAGTCCACATAGATGAGCATTGCCTATGTAGCTCCTCTCGTCAAAGGTAACAAGATGGCCTTTGAAAGGGATTTCACCTGATAAATTGTTATATGAAATGTTGAAGTATCCTAAACTGTTGAGATCGGCTAGCATAGGAGGGATGCTTCCATAGAGCTTATTATTGGATAGATCAAGACTCTCTAAGCCCTTCAGCTTTTGAATGCTATCTGGTATGGAGCCTGTGAGACGATTGCTTGACAAATTCAGGGATCTGATATTCTGAAGATCTCCAATCTCAATTGGAATTTCGCCCGATAGTTCGTTGCTCGACAAATCCAGACCATGCATATAGCGGAGAATATCACCTTGATACGCCTCATACCTGCTTTTCGTTAAAAAATCCACTACGGTTGCTGGTTTTGGTTGATAACCATTCCTGACACCATCATCCAAGTTAAGATGTGATGCATAGTGACAATGTCGCAAGAATGTAATGTATGAGAAGTCAAAATCTGCAACAAGTGACATGGTACCGTTATTCTGCTCTGCACCAAAAGACATTTTACTGAAACATGATGGTATGGGGCCTCTGAATTGATTGTGAGACAAGTCCAAGAGACCAACTTCACTTAGCTGACATATTTTCCCAGGGATATAAGTTCGAAAGCTGTTATTCCGTAGAAGAAGAATGCGTAACTTAGATGTCTGGTCAATAGTGTTCAGTATCTTTCCCGAAAAGTTGTTGTTACGCAAATCCAGCACTTCTAATCCCGCAGCATTGAATAAATTGCCCGGAACTGAACCCATAAACTCATTGTTTTGTAGTCTTAATTCTCTGAGAGATGGAAAATTCACATTCCTTGGTATCGAACCAGAGAAGCTATTGTGTGAGATGTCCATAACCTCAACCCAAGGACTCTGTTGTTGAAAAGGGAAAGGACCTTTTAGCTGATTACCACTCATGTATAGGTAGGAAAGCCATGACATCCTACCAATCCAACGCGGAAGCATGCCCGAAAACCTATTATCTGATATGTCTAGAAGAGTTAGATTCTTTGACTTCAATAAACCTTCTTCTAGACTCCCAGTAAAATTGTTGCCATCAAGAAAAAGCCCTACTAAACCAGTAAGGTTTGCATGCTTAGGAAATATTTTCCCCTGTAATTGATTGTTGGAGAGCTTCAGAACCCTTAGCGAGTAGCAACCACTTAAAAACATATTAGGTAGCTGCCCATATAGACCATTAGAAGACATGTCCAAGACTTGTAGGCTTTTCATCTGGCCAATCGAAGAGGGAATAGGTCCTTGAAATTGATTTGCAGAGAAGTTCATAAACCTCAGGTTTGGAAACACCATCCCTATGTCTTCTTGAATCGAATCATATATCATATTACTCGAGATATCGAGAACTTGCAAGCCGTGAACAAGCATAGGTAGTTGAAGCTTTGTCAATGAGTTCCCATTTAGTAAAATAGTCTGCAGCCTTGTGTTATTCTTCACAAGCCACGTTGGGAATGTTCCTGTCAACTTGTTATAAGAGAGATCAACGAAGCACAAGTCATGCTGATGCACGAGAAAGACAAGCATTGTACTGCCAAGATTGCAATTCGACAAATGTAACATCTTCAATTGAAACAATGGAGCCCAGGAACTCTCCGTCTGAACTTGGATCACACCAACTTTTGATGACAATTTGAATACTGTGAGTCTTGTTTGATTGACCAGTGAGTTGAATAAGAACGAACCGTTGAAGTTATTATCAAGCAGCGACAAGTACTCAAGCACTGGTGGTAGACCAGACACAAAGGAAGACAGGTTTCCATTCAATTGGTTGTTCGATAGATCAAGAGTTCGAAGATGCGTTAAGTTACCCAAACAAGAAGGTAGACTTGTTAAAGCATTGCTGCTCAAATCCAGTTCCCTGAGTTTCATTAGTCTGCAAATCCCTAAATAGCCTGAAATAATCATATAAGAGTGTAATAAATCAGAATAATCATCAACTCCATCTAAAAAGAGAGTAATAACAATAGAGATATTCATCAACTCCATCATCATATGAACTATTTAGACTTCATAGCCACGGAACTCATTGAATTATCTTCTGTTCTCACAATCTATCTATGTAGAAATTCAGTTAGGAGGGTGACTAAAGTGTGACTCTTCTGTTTAGACCAAAAAAATGCATAAAGTATTGAAAGATAGGTCAGAAGAGAATTTACTGTACATCTCACCTTCGTGGGTCAAAGACAATTGATTCCTTTTGAAATCCAATACTTGTAAAGATGTAAGAATCACTAAACCTGCAGTTGAAAAGAACATAATGATACATAAATAGATAAAGATTTGACTGCTCCACTTCTAATAAGCATGTAAAGTGACTGTTATTCCCAACCCAGGAAACCGTTCTATATTCACCAACCCAAATGTAATACACCGATGGGACATTGATTAACGAAATTATTCTCAATTCTTGACCCCAAAAACTACACCAAACCGAACAATATCCAGAATTTTTATCATAATCTGATTCTACTCTCTTTAACCTCTCCCACAGTAACTGACTTGTGGTTTGTTATGCTCATCTGGAAATTTAGACGCAATCCTATCCAGAGGGTCTAGAATATCTATACAAGATACCCAGAAAAATTAGGCTTCATAGTTGCTTGCTGAATTTTTTTAACTTATGAGCTGGACTTGCTGAACAACGTCTCTAATAATAAACTCCTCCTCACTTCTACTCTTATCAAAACGTTAAACTAGATAGGTTAAACCAATTGGGATTGAGCAAGCAAGTTTCACTTTCTATACATATCTTACCTCGGCCATGATCCAAATTTGTGAACCCATTGTCACTGAGATCCAGTTCTTGCAACTTTTTCAGATCTTTCAGTGCTGTGCAGGCAAAAGAAACATTCTTAGGAGAAAAACCCAGAATACATTTGGTTGCCTTCTCTAAGCCATAAGTCTCTTCCTGAAAGAACAGTTTACAACACTTACCATGAGTAGATAGCGTGTGGTTGAATTTATTGCCTCGTAATTTCAAGACTAGTAACTCTCGGAGACTTTGTAAACCTGGAGATCCCGAAAAACATAAGTTATAATTAGAAAGTTGACAGAAATGGATAAAGATCATGTAAGTAAATTCCTGGTACTCTCTGTCTACCTTTAAGTTGAGAAAAATCTGAAAACGGATTGAAACTAAGATCTAGTGTTTTCAGTTTCGCCGTACTAAACCCTGCACCAATAAACACATTATGATACCATAAGTGATGTTATAAGTCAGTAAAGATAACCAATTTCATAGAAGCCACTCACAGTGACTAGCCTCAGAGTCGTTGACACCATTGAGACTGAGATCCAGTACTTCTAACTCTCTAAAATAGGTTAAACCTGCATCTCAATGTCTCACTCAGTCATCTGACATCAATTCTTTAGTTCCCTCTTTTCTTTTGGAACAATAAAACTACATTAAGTTTGTTAACATATTTTACCTTGAGCAGATAAGAAGCTGAAACTGTTGTCCTTCAAGTTTAACACTCTCAAGTTTGTCATGTTTGCAAGTTCTGCCACACCAGAACAAGAAGCCGTCAAAATCATCTCCAATTGAATTATAAACAAAAATGTCAAAAAAAGAACCAAAAATTGTAGAAGAAATACATAACCTTGAGGAGGAAAGACACCTTCCATGTAATTAGACTCAAGATGTAGATTCTTAACCGATGTCGTAGCACTTAAGAAAGGAACAATACTGTTGTCGAACATATTTTGGGAGAAATCTATGGTGGTGAGCTTCTCTAGTCTCCCAAAGCTCTTATAACCTGGAAGCAAAATTGCAAAAAAAAAAAAAAAAAAAAAACTAAAATTCTCTTTCAAACAAACTGTCGAACACTTTATGTGCACTATGTAATTTCAAATTACAGTATTAAACTCACGCGCCCTACCCTTTTTCACACTATCATAAAGATCTTAAAGATGAAATCTATACACACTCTTATTCTATCAATCAGCAATGGCTGATCTTAGAGACAAAACCACACGGTAAAAGAACTCTGTTGCCGTTGTCGAATGATGAGGTTGTTTGTATTTGGTTAAAACCGGTTTAAATCTGAACCGATATTTCTAATTGTTGGTTTCCAGACATTAATTGAGAAATTTTCGGTTAGAAAGACGTACCAAGGACGTGATCAGACAAATTAGTAAACCAATTCCACGAGAGGTTAAGGCTTTGGAGTTGAGGAAAACTATGAAGCAAAGACAGGTTTAAAGTCCGAATTTGCGACTCAAATGCGACCGGTATGAGTCTATCCAGTGAGAGATCGATGACGTGACCACTAATAGCGTCACTACACTTTACTCTCTCCCAGAGGCAACAATCACCATTATGATGAGTCCATGACTTGAGAATACTAAGTCCTTCTTCTTCTTCTTCTTCGGCATCAAGGAGATTCTTGAGATACGACTTGAGTTGCAATAAACCGATCCTTTCAGTTTCCACACAGCTTACACATCCTTTTATTTGGAATTGGAGCATCATTGTTATGGTTATGAACACCAAAGCTATATGCTTCTTCCGTTTCACCCACCACCTTCTTCTCTCGTTTGTTGTCATTTTTTTTGTTTCTATGTTTTTTTTTTTGTCAAATTGTTTCTATGTTTTTTAGTTAGAAAAAACTGAGGATTTGATCCCCAGAATTTGTTTAAGAGCTTACTTTACCAAGAATAGACTATACAAGTCCACGAAATACTCAACCCATTGTTGACTTTGGCGTTTAACTCCAACAATGAAAATTGACCCATGAGTCGATATCCATCGAACGTATGCCTCTCACTGTCACTAGTGTAGCCATCAATCTCTCTGAGGGACCTTTGTTATACTTTTTGTTTTTTTTCCTAGAGTATGTAGAGTCAAGGCCGCGTCTGAACACAAACGAGTTAAATTTAATTCTTCTATAGAAAATAATTAAAAACTTGAGAAACACTTATTTATTGGGGTTAACTGTTAAGTAATGAGTTTTTTTTTTCTCTGTTGACAAACAAAAAGTAATGATTTTTTTATTTTATTTTATATTTTCTGTTTACTTAGAGAATCACTTTTTATAGTTAATAAAAATAAAACATCTAACTAAAATTCAAATATTGTCATGGGATGCATAACTTGCTTGATTTGATTCTGTTTTATCTGTAATGTCTTCACATCTCTGTGGATTTACATAAAAACATGACGATGATCACATGATTATTTATTCAAACATGATACAACACGAATCACATCACACATGGAATTTTTTGAACAAAGAGTAGTATATGGTAGTAGTGTGTCTTGTTGCTGACCCACGGAATCAGTTGAAGACGAAACGACCCTTAAAGCGTTGAAGATGATGAACAAAGAGATCGACCCGATAAAACCATTCACGGGACCAGCGTGAGTCGATGCAGAGAAACGCTGACAAGGCCAAGGATGTGGAGATGTAGACTGCAACACAAGTCCAATAAAACCACACCATGTCTATCACATCATCACCTTCTTTCTCTTCCTCTTTGGCCTGCTTTGATGCACTCGGCTCTGGGGCACTCGTGGGGTTGCAACTTTTATTGGTAGGAAGACCACAGAGATGAGCGTTTCCTATGTAACTCCTTTTGTCAAAAGTTACAAGATGGCCTTTGAAAGGGATTTCACCTGATAAATTGTTGCATGAGACATTAAAGTATCCTAAACCGCTGAGGTCGGTTAGCTGAGGAGGAATGTTTCCATCTAGCTTGTTGTTTGATAGATCAAGACTCTCTAAGTCTTTGAGCTTTGAAATGCTATCTGGTATGGAGCCTGTGAGGTGGTTGCTTGACAAATTCAGGGATCTGATGTTCACAAGATCTCCAATCTCAACTGGAATCTTGCCAGATAATTGGTTGCTTGACAAATCCAACCCATACATGTAACGCAGAATATCACCTTGATATGCTTCATATCTTCTTTTCGTTAGAAAATCCACTATGGTTTCTGGTTTCAGTTGATAACCATTGCTGACACCGTCATCGAGGTTCAGAACTGATGTATAAGCCCAATTTTGCAAGAATGGAACCTTTACTGAGTAAAACGTTGTAAAACCAAAACTGTCGTATCTTACTCCACCAAAAGACATGTTACCCAAACATGATGGTATATCACCTTTGAATTCATTGTGAGACAAGTCCAGGAGACCAACTTGACTCAGCTGACATATTTCCTCAGGGATATGACTTTGGAAGCTATTATTCCGCAGAAGAAGAACACGTAAACTACTAGACGATCTGTTGCCAATAGTGTTGAGAATCTTTCCAGAAAAATTGTTGTTCCTCAAATCAAGCACCTTTAATCCGGCAGCCTTGAATAAAGTGTCTGGAATTGATCCAACAAACTCGTTGTTGTGAATTCTCAATTCTCTGAGAGATGGAAAATCAACATTCCCTGGAATGGAACCGGAGAAGCTATTATCTGAAATGTCTAAAACATTAAGCTGTAGATTTTGTAGCTGACGAGGGAAAGGACCTTTCAGCTGATTTCCCTTCATGTACAGATACCAAAGGCTTGACATTCTACCAAACCAAAGTGGAAGCGTGCCTGAAAAGCCATTATCTGATATGTCTAAAAGAGCTAGATTCTTGGAGTTCAACAGACCATTTCCAAGACCACCAGTAAAATTGTTGCCATCAACAAGTAGCCAAGCTAAATCAGTAAGATTTGCATGCTCCGGAAATATTCCCCCCTGGAATTGGTTGTTAGACAGCTTCAGAACCTTGAGCGAGTGGCAAGCACTTAAAAATGTTTTAGGTAGGTGCCCAAATAGACCGTTAGAAGACACATCCAAGAATTCTAGACTTTTCATCTCCCCAATGGAAGATGGAATGGTTCCATGTAAATGATTTGAAGCCAATTTCATATACCTCAGGTGTGGGAAGACAACCCCTATGTCTTGTGGAAATGAATCGTATATCCTGTTACTCGAGATATCCAGAACTTGCAAGCCATGAACAAGCCTAGGTAGTTGAAGCTCTGTCAACAAATTGTTATTAAGTAAAAGTATCTGCAGCCTTGTGTTATTCTGCACAATCCAAGTCGGAAATGCTCCTGTCAACTGGCTATAAGATATATCAATGTAGCACACTTCATGCTGATGAACAAGAAACTCAGGAATTTTGTTGCCAATAATGACATTATGTAACATTAGCATCTTTAATTGAAACAGAGGAACCCACGAGCTCTCACTCTGAGCTTGGATCATACCAACTTTTGATGACAATCTGAATACTGTGAGCCTTGTTTGATTGGCCAGTGAATTGAACCAGAATGAACCATTGAAGTTATTACCAAGAAGCGATAAGTACTCAAGTGCTGATGGTAGACCAAACACAAAAGAAGACAGGTTTCCGTTCAATTGGTTGTCAGATAGCTCAAGAGTTCGAAGACGAGTTAGGTTACTCAGACAATAAGGCAGACTTGTCAAAGCATTTCTGCTTAAATCCATCTCTCGGAGATACATTAGTTTGCAAAGCTTTGAGTTGCCTGAAATTAGTCATAGAGAAATTCAGTTGAGAGGGTGATAAAGATGAGAAAGATAATGAGTGATTATTCACTATTTCACCTTTGAGGGTCAAAGACAATTGATTGCTTCTAAGATTCAATACTTGTAAGGATAAAGGAAACACTACACCTGCAATTTGAAGGATAGATAAATAAATTAAAAAATGTTTTGCATGCTCCACTAGGCATCTACTATAACGTCTACATGTATAATGATTCTTTTCTGTCTCAATCGTTCACCGTCTTACCTAGGCTGTCTAAGTCGGTGAATTCATTGCCACTTAGATCCAGTTCTTGCAACTTTGGCATATCTTTGAGTACTGCATCAATAACACAAGAATCATTCTTATACTATCAAGTAAAAAAGATATATATTATTTAGTTTACTTGCTTAAGACGTTAGTCTCTTCTTGCAAGAATAATTTACTCACTTACCTTCAATAGATCGAGTAAGGTTCAACTGATTGTCTGCCAATATCAAGACATTTAACTCCACAAGATGTTCCAAACCTGGAGATCACCAAAAACAAATGTGTTATGATTAGATATTTTACACATAGTTGGCTAAAGGTCATAGTTGCTTTATGGTATACTCGGCCAACCTTTAAGTCGGGCAGTGTCTGAGAAATCATTGTCGCTAAGATCTAATGTTTTCAGCTTTATCGTTCTTAACCCTCCAATAACACATAATGATATCATTAGCGATATGATAAGCCAACAAGAATATCTGCCCCCTTTTGTCTTTGTTCTTCTCACCGTCACCAGCCTGGAAGTCGTTTATATTATTGCTACTTAAGTCCAATACTTCCAACTCCCTGAAGTTGATTAAACCAGCTGCACACCAAAGTCTCGATTAGTCATTATTTTTGTTATTAGAGAACAAAAGATTAGCCTTCTTAACACATTAATACTTTAGGATTCTAAACTATGTTATGTTTGCAAATTCTACCACGCCAAAACCAAGAAGCCACTTCAAGAATGAATGAAATTATTGTTCACAAACATCTGTAAAGTATTTTTGGGAGAATTCACCCCTAGCTATTCAATTTGTTCTTTTTTTGGTTCAACGTTACTGTGAGAAATAGAGGAAATCATCAGGTCAAAGAGATCTTTCATTACCATTCGGAGGAAAGAGTACACCTTCAAGTAAATTGTCACTAAGAACTAGAGTCCTGAGCGACCTCGCTGCACTTAGAAAAGGGATAGCACTATTGTTGAGACGATTTTTATAGAAATCCAAGGTCCTCAGCTTCTCCAGTCTATCAAGGCTCTTATGACCTGAAACCGTAAAAAACCCTTAAATTAGAAACTGGAAAAAAATATAGTGGTAACTTCCTTAAAGAACGTACCATGGATGAGGTCAAACAAGTAATTGAACCCATTCCCTGAAAATTCAAGGGTTTGAAGTTGAGGGAAGCTATGGAGCAAAGACAAATTCAATGGCCTGTCCAAATCTGTGTATGGCATGATTTCATTCAGGGAGAGGACGACGATGTGACCACCACCAATAGCGTCACTGCACTTTACGCTCTCCCAACGGCAGCAGTCACTCTTACGATGACTCCATGATTTGAGAATGCTTTCTTCTTCGGGATAAATAGGAGTCCCTTCGTCTTCTTCTCCCGCATTGATGATAAGATTCTCGAGATATGACTTGAGTTGTAACAGACCCATTCGTTCAGTTTCCACACATGCTTTTATCTGGAATTGGAGCATCATTGTTATTGTTATGAACACCAAAGCCATCATCTTCTTCTTCTCTTTAACCCACCACCGGCTTCTCGCGTTTCTTGTCATTGTTCTCTTTTTTCTTTCTAAGTTTTAGTGTTAGAAACTGAAGATTTTCTCCCCAAACTTTAAAGAGCTTCATTGATGTAATTAAGATGTGAATATACACTATACAAGTCAACGAAAAAGTCAACCCAACTTTTGACATTTGAGTTTAACTCCAATAATGAGAATTGACCCATGACTCCATATCTATCGAACGTATGCCTCTCAAGTCTCAATATCAACCTCTATGTCTCTGGGGCCAGGACCTTTTGCCGTTTTTTTTGGTTGTTGGTCAAAGCTACACTTTGTTTTGTTGCATAAACTAGATTTTATCCCGCGGTACACCGCGGATCGATTTTTTTATAACTAAAAAATTATTTAGCAAAATTTTAAGTTGTATTTGTTTTGTTAATATTTTTTATTTTGTTTAGTGTTTCTGATTTTATAATTAAATTTTGATTTATAATTCTAGGATTTCATCCATAGTATATTGTTTAATATTAATATCGATCCAAACCCGTTGCACCATATAACCCCGTCCCGTAAAATTAAATATCATTTGTTATTTTTTTTTGAATAATATTTTTATCCACTACGGGTCGCATATTCATGCGGATAAGCCCGTAGAGAGTTGCGGGTTTGCGGGTCGACCCGCCAAAAGAGAAGCTATCTTTTGAAACCCTTTGTTTTATTTAGAGGTTTTGAGAAAATATCCCTAAAAAATAATTTTCATTATATGAAAAAAAAGTAGAAGAAATTGTAGTATCAACATTTCCGATTTTTACATCACTCGTTACTATTAATTTTTTTTTTGCAGATAAAAATCAGAACTTAACTAAGTCGAGATTTTTAAAAAGATTGTGTAGAGATTTTTGGTAAATTGTTGAAAACATATTTGATTTCAAAATCTTTACTTAAATAGATAAGGAAAGATTTTGTAGAAATTTTTGCTAAATATATGATAAATGAATTTCATTTAAAAATCTTTACTTAAATAAAACAAATTTAAATAATTAATGTTAATAGTATGCCATTGTAAATACTTTTCAACTTCAGGATTTATTTGCTAATTGTGATCCAAAAATGTATATATAGATTAAGTAGCAGACTAAAAAAACGAAAGGGAGAGTTCATTAATGACACTTTTAAATGTTATGTAAGATTTGAGCCCAAAAGCCTATTTCAACTATGTAGGTTTTGGGCCAAAAACTGATATGGATTTGGCACCTTTAATAAAGTCAAATTGAGTCATCATCAACTTTGACGATCAAAATAATGAAAATTCATCATCATCATCTCTCCCACCAATTTCATTCCTTTGCTTCAACTCTCAGACTCTTCTCTCATTCGCCTCACTCATCTCTCTCTCATATTCCTTTCTTCTTCCATCTGATTTATCTCTCCCTTTTCTTTTGGAAGAATCCCGTACTCAGAATCAGGTTAGCGATTAGCTTCTCTTATCTGTTGTTTGGTTCTTGACCGATTGCATGTTAAGGTATGTTCTCTTACTGATTCTCCATGGCTATCTTCAACTTTCTTTTTTCTCTTTTGCTTGTAAGAAATTTAGTGAAATTTTCTGGCTTTTTAGGAATTGTATATATAGTTACTAACTTTATTCAGTTTCCAAATGAAGAAGAATCATGTTTATTAGCCCAACTGAATTTACAATTGATTTTTCTTCTCTTTCATGTTTGGCCTGTGATTTGTCTTCTCAGTTCTGTGTGCTCAGGGAATTTTTTTGGTGCACTTGTGATTGAGAATCAGGGATGGTTATGTGCTTGTCACAAAGATACAATCTGTTTTGTGAAGACACATGATTTTCAGTTTTGTTTATGTCAGGTAATGCCAAGTGGTTGAGAGATTTCACTATGATGGAGTTATCTCTAGTCAGATTATGGACCACTTGTTTCTTCTACATATCGACACTGCTTTTTCTGCTCATCGGTGGAGGAGTTTACTCTCATTCTGAATATTTGATTGGACTGGGAAGCTATGACATTACTGGCCCGGCTGCTGATGTAAATATGATGGGTTATGCTAACATGGAGCAAGTGGCATCTGGTATTCACTTCAGGCTCCGGGCTCGGACTTTCATTGTCTCTCAGCCTCAAGGGAAGCGGGTTGTGTTTGTTAACCTCGACGCTTGCATGGCTTCACAAATTGTTAAACTAAAAGTGATCGAGAGACTCAAGGCAAGGTATGAACCACCTAGTCTTTTCCTAGGTTGACTAGCCTTAGTTTTTTTTTTTTATAAGATTGTAGTAGCTAAGTCTGTATGATAATCGAGAAGGAATAATTAAGCTGTTGTTTGCAGATATGGGGATCTGTATACTGAAAAGAATGTTGGCATCAGTGGTATTCATACCCATGCCGGTCCAGGGGGGTATCTTCAGTATGTGATTTATATTGTAACATCACTTGGATTTGTTCGTCAGTCGTTTGATGCCCTTGTGGATGGAATCGAGAACAGTATCATACAAGCTCACGAAAATCTTCGACCTGGATCAATTTTTATCAATAATGGTAAGTACTGATATCCCCTTCTCTCCCTGTTTTCTGAAAGAATGATTATTGCTGGAATCTGATATAAGTTTTGATGGTTACACGAGATATTGACAAATGAAAAAAGTAGTCAAACGATGTGTGCATTGGAAATAATTCTCAAAAAAAGAACATGTTTGTCTTCTTCATATGTGTTGCAGGATTGTTCTTTGGAACTGTATTTTCATTAGGCTAATTAAACTTACCTTACAGGTGAGCTCTTGGATGCTGGTGTAAACCGCAGTCCAAGTGCATATCTTAATAATCCTTCAGGAGAAAGGAGTAAACACAAGTACGACGTTGATAAGGAAATGACTCTCTTAAAGTTTGTGGATGATCAATGGGGTCCAGTAGGTAGTTTCAATTGGTTTGCTACCCATGGAACTTCCATGAGTCGTTCAAACTCTTTGATCAGTGGGGACAACAAGGGTGCTGCATCACGATTTATGGAAGATTGGTTTGAACAGAATACTGTTGAAAGATCCTACTCTGAAGAGTTTATTTCAGATGAGATACCTAGAAGAGTTTCAAGCATAATCGAGAATCATCAGGACAACCGTAAGTTTACCACACCTTTATAACTGCTGTACATTGTGTCTCTAAAGATGGAACAAGATAAAATATTCAGTGTGTTTGGTCTGATGCAGATCAAGAGTTGCTAGAGCTTGCATCTTACTTTGAGTCACAACCTGGTAAGCCTGCAACTAGAATTTCAAGTTCTGCAAGGCGAGTGAGGAGTGCTCTGAGGAAGGCAGATATGCCTGGCTTTGTTTCTGCTTTCTGTCAAACGAACTGTGGAGATGTTAGCCCAAATGTGCTTGGAGCCTTTTGCCTAGACACTGGTCTTCCTTGTGATTTCAATCACAGTACATGTGGTGGGAAAAATGAGATGTGCTATGGGCGTGGACCAGGGTATTCACTTGTCTTTGTTTTCTTTTTTGTCGTCTTACAAGATTGGATAGCACAAACATATCATCATGACCTATTTTTCTTTAACATTGCAGCTATCCTGATGAATTTGAGAGTACATGTATAATTGGTGAGAGGCAATTCAAGATGGCTTTGGAACTTTTCAACAAAGCATCTGAACAGCTAGAAGGGAAGGTTGATTACCGCCATGTTTATGTTGACTTTTCACAGCTCAATGTGACACTTCCTGAAAAAGATGGGAAATCAGAAGTTGTAAAAACATGTCCTGCGGCAATGGGCTTTGCTTTCGCTGCTGGAACCACAGATGGACCAGGAGCATTTGATTTTACACAAGGAGATGATAAGGTATTCAGTTAAAGTCATAATGTATCATCCAATAAGTAAATATTGCCTCCATGCTTTCCAATTCTTAAGTCTACCGTTTGGATAAATCAGGGGAACCCTTTCTGGAGATTGGTGAGAAACGTTCTTAAAACACCGGACAAGAAACAAATCGACTGTCACTATCCAAAACCCATCTTGCTTGACACTGGAGAAATGACAAAGCCATATGACTGGGCTGTAAGTAGTTAAAAATATGAACTTCCATGAGTCTTGTTTATGGTTTTAAGACTCTACTCTAACTTGTCTTTGAATCCAGCCATCAATTCTTTCATTGCAAATTCTACGTATTGGACAACTTTTCATTCTTAGCGTTCCTGGAGGTAGTGGAGAATCTGCAGATTGTCACACTTCATAATTTTGACTAACTGCGATGTTTATTAGTCCTGTCTGTCTTTCTTGTCAGAATTTACAACCATGGCTGGAAGGCGTCTCCGCGATGCAGTGAAGACACAACTTAAAAACAGTGGTAATAAAGATTTGAGTGGTGAGATTCACGTCGTGATAGCTGGATTAGCTAATGGTTACTCACAGTATGTGACTACCTTTGAGGAGTATCAAGTGCAGAGATATGAGGTAAAAGCTTATCTACTGACCCTTTAGAACAAACAAGAGTTCATATTTTTACATTAATCTGCATCTGTTGCAATGGTTGGATTTGTTAGGGTGCATCTACGTTATATGGCCCGCACACCCTCAGTGGCTACATTCAAGAGTTCAAGAAACTCTCCAAATCTCTCGTCCTTGATATGCCTGTTCAACCGGGGCCTCAACCGCCGGATCTTCTTGACAAGCAACTTAGCTTCCTCACACCAGTCATGATGGACACAACTCCTGACGGAGACAGTTTCGGGGATGTGATTTCGGATGTTCCTAAAAACTTGTCTTTGAAGAGGGGAAACGACCAGGTGACTGTTGTATTCCGTTCAGCTTGTCCTAGAAACGATCTACTGACAGAAGGTATCATCACCCAATTCCAATAGAATAAATTTCTTGTTTAATATCTGAGTTTTTTTATTTCTTGAGTTGTCCTTGAAACAAGCGACATAGAGACTGAGGATTGAAAACTGCATTTGTGCTTACATGTGAGCTTTTCTGTTCTTATTTCTGTGATGAAGGATAATAACCTTAACCATGGGGCATAGTTGCGTTAGTGCAAAACTGTGAGCTTTTGAAAGTAAAAATATTGAAATGTTCAAGCTGGCGTGAATTTCTCATGAGTTATGCTTATGAATTTCTAAAAATTACATATGCTAATGTCTGCTTCTAAGTCATAGACAATTTCAAAATAAGTAACTTGACATATTTTGATGCTAACACGAGATACTATATTCATGGCAGGGACGTTTGCTCTGGTGGAGAAACTAGAACAGAAGGACAAGACTTGGACCCCAGTTTATGACGACGATGATCTATGTCTGAGGTTCAAGTGGTCGAGGCCTAAAAAGCTGAGCTCCCGAAGTCAGGCCACTGTGGAATGGAGAATTCCCGAGTCTGCATCACCAGGGGTTTACAGGATCACCCATTTTGGTGCTGCAAAGAAGCTCTTTGGGTCAGTCCACCATTTCACAGGCTCTTCTAGTGCTTTTGTTGTAACATAAAGAAGTAGTAACCAAAGTAGATGTAGTAAACTTGTATCATACTAGGTTTACTTGATGCACTGTCTTGTGCACTTACATGTATTACACAAATGTAGCCAAAGAGTATAGAACGGTGTCAAAGAACTGAGGTTGAGAAGTCTTATGGAATGCAATATACCTTTTCATGTAAATGTTCACAGACAATTTAACTTAAGTATTCAAGTATAGGCAACTACGGTTGTGTTAGTGTATAAAACTATAAATTATCTTCCAAAATGGAGTTAGTTTGTTGATGAATCGTTATAGTTTCAAGGATAACTAATTATGCTGAACTTTGTTATCATAAAACATAATAAGTCAAGAAAACAACTGATTCTAGAGGGTCATACAATGGAATCTCACAAAAAAAAAAACACCAACATTATCAATGAATCTTCAACATTAGGATGAAGAGAAATTGTGGATACAAAGGGCTCTTAGGGATTAGTGTCTTCTTCTTCTTCAATCTTAGGAGCCAAGTAGTAACGAATGTAACCCATCTCAGCAACCTTATACTCCACAACCACTGGCAACTCTGACGATAAGCTGATTGTCACAGTGTCTGACAATGGAGTTGCCTTTGTGAAGGAATTCATGTACCTTAGGGCAAATGAGAGTGACACTGGTTCCTTCATCTCTATCACAATTGCATCTTCCGGCTGCAATACACAAAACGAAAGCCTCATTTTAAAATGTTACTCTAATGAAACCGCCGTAGAGTTCATCAACAGTTTCATAGTTTTATGCAAAGAGAGTTGGAGATGTCAATACCTTGTCTACAGTTGTGTTCTGCCTAAGCACAATGTTAGCGGTTCCAATGTCACCGGCAGTGGAAAACTTCACCCCTTCTTTAGTCACAGAGATCACAACTGCAACAATAACATCAAGCCAATCTCTGTTTAGACTCGACATACCATCTCAGATTAACAATAGAAACAATGCAGTACACAGTACAATGTACCTGTATCACCAATGCTACTGAGATCTTTGCAAATCCTGGAAAACTCATTCGACGGCATCCTAACGATTGAGTGGTACTCAGCATCAGGTATTCCCAGATGCTCACTGTCTATATCCATCAACTTCATCTCAAAATCGGCAATCTTGTCTTGCGCTATAAATCATCCAACACAAAACCAAGTTAAAAGATCTTGCCTCACTGGTAAGTGGTAACCTCAACAAACAAACGTGTGAAATTTCTACCTCAAAATTAGGAAGCAGCTAGGTCTAACTAAGTTTTGAAACTTCAAACTATATACAACCCCTAAGAGAACTAAATCATTCCACCATTTCGTACACATAGAAACCAGAGATTAGAGTAATTCAGTCAATTAGCAGATTCACTTACTGGGGCTCTCGAACATGAAGGTGACGGTGTCGCCGCCGTCATCAGCCTTGATGGTGATGATGTCATCATTTCCGGCACATTTGAGCATCTTCGACATGTTGCCGAGATTCATCCCCATGGAGAGATTCCTGTCGCATCTGTAGTGCTCGAAGCCTTCGGATCTTAGCAAGAGAGACACCAGCGCCACGTGACTCGAATCCATAGCTTGGAGCGAGAAGCCAGTGCTGGAGCAGTCGAAATTCGCATCGTTCACCAGATCCTTGATTGATTCTAGAACCTTCTTCAACAACGAGCCCTGAACAAGTCGTAGCTCCAACATCTCGTCGTCTTTAGATATTATCAGAGTTAAGAAGGAGAATCGTTTTGTGGGTTTTAGAAAGAAGATTTGACATATCGAGGATTCCAATTTATAAGCTTTTTTATTTTCTGGCGGGATTTCGCCATTCTAAGTTATTTGGTTCCCGCCAATGCACTAGTGGGATGCCTCAATTGGTTATCAAAACTAAACATTTTGTAATCTTTTCCACTATTTAAAATTTAAAACCCCAATCTAAAATCTTATTGAAGAAACTTAGATTGTCCAAAACGTTTTGAAATTTTCAGTAAAAAAATTTGTTGACTATGAATAGTAAAGAAAGTCAAAATTTCAAATGTGATTTTTTTTTGTCAACAATTTGATTCTACAATTCTATAAAAATAAAAAGAATATGAATCACGGCCATATCTAAGATTGTTCACACATCCGTTCGAATTGTCCGTCTTTTATCTATTGTGTATCCGTTATAATGTCTATCTATAAATGGTTTAATATATTTTAACAAATTCAGACGGATTTGGAAGAATTTTGTCTATTACCAATTAAATTACTAAAATTTTCCAAATTATTTGATCCTAAATTTGAACATTAAACGAATTTGGTCTTTTGGATAGTGGTGGTTTTAGATAATCAAGCTACCTAAACCGCATCCTATAATTGGATGGATGAGTTTGGTCATTACAAAAGTTAAGAGGATTGATTCGTGTTATTAAAGGAAGAAAAGTCCATTTCGAATTTTAGTGAAAGTTTGGGGGTTTATTTGCAATATTCCAAAGACAAAACACGCGAATCCAAAACCGACTCTGCCCTAGTTAAAAATCCCGTCGGCTCCTTGGTGTTCGAGATTTGATATCGAATAATCGAATCAGAGGATAAGAGAATGGCTCACAGAATACTGAGAGATCACGAAGCTGATGGATGGGAACGCTCTGATTTCCCAATCATCTGCGAATCTTGTCTCGGTGACAACCCCTACGTGCGAATGGTAATTTCTCGATTCAATCTTAGATTTTATGTTACTTGTTTTGTTTCAGTGGCTCCTGAATCTTCTTTGCGGATCTCATCTCTTGCTCGTTGATGTTTTTCTGTATATTGGAGTGGTTAACTTAGTAATTTAGGTTTTAGGGTTCAGGTAGTTATCAAATTCGTCGGAAGTTTGGTTTTTTAGATCCAAATTCGTCTAGTTATAGTTCGAATTGAGTATAGCTGCTGATTCCTTTAGCTTTCAGCTGCAAATGTTTTGATTAGGAGATAGAAGCAGTTTTTGTTTGTCTGAGATGCAATTTCTGATTGAGTTTTATCTGTTGATATGTAGACTAAAGCGAATTATGATAAGGAATGCAAGATTTGTACACGACCGTTCACCGTGTTTAGGTGGCGACCTGGCCGGGATGCGAGATACAAGAAAACCGAAATTTGTCAGACTTGTTGCAAGCTGAAAAATGTATGTCAAGTCTGTCTTCTGGATCTTGAGTATGGTCTTCCAGTTCAAGTCAGAGACACAGCACTCAACATTAGTACTCATGACTCTATCCCTAAAAGTGATGTCAACAGAGAGTATTTTGCTGAAGAGCACGACAGAAAGGTATGACCATGTTCACAATTCTTCCTTTATTTTTTAACTAAACGGTTATATTTCAGTATTGGTTGGTTTGAGAATTTGATTAGGTTATGTGACCATTATGAATGATTGATGGTGGCTTATCTAAGTGAATTTGTTTTTTTCTTTGATGTAGACTAGAGCTGGATTGGATTATGAATCTTCATTCGGGAAGATGCGACCTAATGATACTATTTTAAAGCTTCAGAGAACAACACCATACTATAAGAGGAACCGAGCACATGTTTGTAGTTTCTTCATCAGGGGTGAGTGTACAAGAGGTGCTGAATGTCCATACCGGCATGAGATGCCCGAAACAGGAGAGCTATCCCAGCAAAACATTAAAGACCGTTATTACGGGTAAGTTGTTTTCTTCTGTATGTTTGACTTTGTTGACGTTTTATGTTTCTGCTATGGTACTATTTTCTCCTTGATCATTCATATACTCTATTTTCGAAGCTTCTGACTTGTGAATTGTGATCTTCAATTCATGGGCTGAACTATGCTATGTTGGCTCGCAGTGTAGTCTTGTTACATAGGGTCTTTTCCAATATTTGTTCCCTTAATAATATATTAGTACTTCTGCATTTATGCTTGTCAAAGAGTCTGTTTTAACTGTTTCTCATCTTCTTTTACACATTTGCAGTGTTAATGATCCAGTTGCTATGAAGTTGCTCGGCAAAGCTGGTGAGATGGGCACTTTGGAATCACCAGATGATGAAAGCATTAAAACGCTTTATGTCGGTGGACTTAACTCGAGAATCCTCGAGCAGGACATAAGAGACCAGTTCTATGCTTATGGAGAAATCGAATCCATCAGAATCTTGGCTGATAAAGCTTGTGCGTTTGTCACATACACAAGCCGAGAAGGAGCAGAGAAGGCCGCACAAGAGCTTGCCAACAGGCTAGTTGTCAATGGTCAGAGGCTAAAACTCACATGGGGAAGACCCAAACCTGATCAAGATGGTTCAAACCAACAAGGCGGTGTGGCTCATAGTGGTTTACTACCTCGAGCCGTTATATCTCAGCAGCATAATCAACCCCCACCAATGCAACAGTACTACATGCACCCACTACCAGCTAACCAAGACAAACCTTATTACCCATCAATGGACCCACAGAGAATGGGTGCAGTCATTTCAACCCAAGAGGCTGGTGGTTCAAGCACTGAGAACAACGGAGCTTCATCTTCTTCTTACATGGTGCCTCCACACCAGCCATACCCACCACCACCATATGGATATATGCCATCGCCTTACCAGCAGCAGTATCCTCCTAACCATCATCATCATCCTGGTCCTATGCAGCACTATGCCCCGCCCCCAGCAGCTTACCCGTACCCACAGCAAGCTGGCCCTGGATCAAGACCTGCACCGTCTCCAAGCGCGGTCTCTGCTCCATCACCCGACTCTGCACCTACTGGGTCTGGAGCACCTTCAGGATCCTCTCAAGAACCTCCTACTGTTTCTACTACTACTGGTTTGTCTCAGTAGAGAACAATTCTCGCTTAAAATGTACTGCAAGTTTGCCGCTATTCATCATCTCGAAGGTTTTGTACTCAGAATGAATCATTTGCTGCTACTTTTTTAGTTTCAACGTCGAAATGTATTGTTTTATAAAACCGGTTCTTAATGAAATGTATCAGTTTTAGAGGCAATTGGTTACATGAAGAGTATGCAGTTATTCGTCAATTTCATAAAGAACATTGAGAATATTGTTATCACAAATTTCACATTGCTCGAATCGTTTTAAAATTGATAAAATTCTACTAGAAATTTGGATGAATGGTTAAATAATAATTAATATGGGAAAAAAGACAGCAATCTCCAGGTTCATCAAAATATTTGGGCCTTTTGTGAGTATAAAGCTGGGCCGGACGCCAAACCGAAAAATGTGATTGGATTTTAAAATTCAATCGCGTCCGGCTCTCCCGAAGCTTCTTTCTAATTCGTCTATATATATATATTCCCCACCAATGATACACGGAAACGTGAAATTCATTTTGTTCCGGTGGGTCAGGTGCAGAGAGTTCTGGAACATCATTCATTGCGCTAGAGGAAACGTCCGCCGGTAATTTTCTCTATCGATTTTATCGTCGTTCGTTTTTAGTTTCCGATTCAGAGCCGTTTTACAGAGTTGTTTTCTAAATTCTGTGGAACGATTGTCTTTTAGGTGTTGTTAGATCTGAATTGTTACTATAAATTACCATGTGTTTAAGCTTGATTCTAGATTTGTATGGAAAATAGCTAGAGAGATGTAAGCATTTAATCATGTGATCGAGTATCATGAAGGTCTAAATCTTGTTTTATGTGGAAGCTGGTTTGGATGTTGAACGTATCGTGATTGGTGTTTAGACCTCAGGGATCAGATATTTTTGTCGTCCTCGTAGCTTAAAATTTGGATTATTCTTGTAGATTTGGTGGTTTTGCATGTTCATATAAGTTTAGACAATACTCTTGAAGCTAAGAATCTTAATTATTTTATTTTTTTTCTCTTTTCTTTTAGATGTCTTACTCAAGAAGGTCAAGATACTCTCCATCGCTGTCTCCTTATGACAAGCGTCGTGGAAGGTCTGTCTCAAGGTCATTGTCTAGAAGCCGGTCAAGGTATATGTCTTTTTATTAGCTTTGAATTTTCGTGACTTGATGATGTTTACTGCTTTTAAATGCGCCCATATCTGACTGTTTTACAACGCTTTTTTTACATTAGGAGTTTCTCAAGCGATGCTGAGAATCCTGGTAACAGTTTATATGTAACTGGATTGTCTCACCGGGTAACTGAAAGAGATCTGGAGGATCATTTCGCTAAAGAAGGAAAGGTTGGATGTTATCTCTAATTTTGAACAAAATTCAGTCTTTTGTAGCTCAATAATGCATCCCGTTCATGAGTTAACGTTTGTGAGCTTTGATATTTCTAGGTAACGGACGTTCACCTTGTCCTGGACCCATGGACTAGAGAATCTCGCGGATTTGGTTTTATCTCTATGGAAAGTGTTGGTGATGCTAACCGTTGCATCAGATATCTAGATCACTCTGTTCTGCAGGGCAGAGTCATTACAGTTGAGAAGGTAAAAGACTAATTACTAGTGACTGCTACGATAGAACCGTAAATGAATGTGATCTGGCCAAAGCTGATATATGCAAGTACTGGGCAATTTAATATTAATATTTCTTTTCTTTGAAAATATTTAAAAGCTGTTTTGCTGTTTGTAGCAGCAGTGCTTCACCAAATAGCAAACGTTGCAACAGTTCAAACACATCAAGTCTCAGACACTTAGGGTTGTATGCCCTGCATTCCTCTCTTTCTTGAACAACTTAATATTCCTTCCTTTAGTAGCTTCAAAGTAGGAAGGTTGTTTTTGTCGTGTTTCCTGTTTCATTGATACATATCTGACAGTGTTGTGATATCTCTGGTTTAATATTCAGGCAAGGCGCCGTAGAGGGCGTACTCCAACTCCAGGAAAGTACTTGGGGCTGAGAACCGCTCGGGGTATGACATCAGTTGTATTGGTTTTATCACAATTCGTTAGTGGGTGTTTCCTGATTTTCCTTTACATGGTTTTTGTTTCTTCCCTTGCAGGACGCCATAAGTCTCCTAGCTACTCTCCCTGCAGGTCTGTTAGCAGCTCTCGTAGTCGAAGCTACTCATCTGATCGGAGCAGATCTTATTCTCCAAGCTATGGGAGGAGAGGAAGGTCTTCCTCATCATCATCCTTTTATAGGCGAGGCAGATCTTACTCTCCTTCGAGATCTCCATCGCCTGTTGATCGTTACTACAGGAGACGCGAGAGATCATACTCACCTTACTACAGGCGAAGAGACCGGTCCAGGTCCAGATCCTACTCGCCTTACTATAGAGCACGGGACAGATCACCTTACTACAGACGGAGGTACAGGTCCAGATCCAGGTCATACTCGCCTTGCTACAGAGCACGTGACAGATCATACTCACCCTACTACAGAGGAAGAGACCGGTCCTATTCACCTTACTACCAAGGGAGAGACAGGTCCTACTCACCTGAAAGTCGTCACTACAGAAGGTATAGTGGCAGGTCAATATAAAAACAGATCAACTGAAACTGCTTAGTATTGTTGTTACTGAAATTACGTATGAAATCAGGTACAGGTCGGTATCGAGAAGCGTAAGCCCTGGGAGGAGAAGCATGTCATGGAGCACATCCCCAAAGAAGGGAAGGAAAGAGAGCAGAAGCAAGTCTCGCAGGCGCGACAGGCAATCTTCAATGAGTCATTCGAGGAGCGCAAGATCAAGCACCTCCAGATCCGTCAGCCCATAACAGTCTCTAGTTGACATCAATCACTCACGCCTGTTGTTGTATTAAATATTTTGGGACACGTGTATTCCTTGTATTTGTGAATTGATGATAGAATGGTGCTGTACGGTTTGGTGTTTGATGTTAGGATTATTATCAGTTCTATGTAAACGTTGCTTGGGCGACATTTCTTCTTTTTTTTTTTTTTTTTTTTTGTTCAAAAAGTAAATTTAACTTAAAGAACTAAAATTAACATGATTTATTAGTGATAGTTATCTTTTGTTATACACAAATTTCTTGGTGATGATTTGTCACCATTTTATTAGGGATCATAAATCTGAAGTTCGAAAATATTGTCGTTTTTTTTTTGGTAAGATTGTATTGTCGTTTGCTTAGACAATTCAATCCCCAAACTATATTTGTGCCTAATTATTGAAATTCCATAAGTGAAATAAAATAATTCTCCAACTGATCTAATGAACATCTCCAACTGAATCTTAACAATTCGAACTACAAACTTTAAAAATTAGCAGAGAACAAATTCAGGAAATAAAAGTCAAACCCTAGCTAGAAAATTTAGGAAAGGTTCAAATTATTAAAAACTTCTAGTAGTAATTAACTACCTTGGGGAACAAAAAGAAAAAAAGAAAATAAAAAATCAAATCTAGTCTTTGAAATATTTCTTCCAACGCGAGTGTGTCTTCCAACGCTTCTCGGCCATTTCCTCAACAGGAACACCTTTGGTTTCGGGAAGATAATACACGACAAATAGTCCCATGGCAATGTTCATTACTCCGAAGAAGAAGAACAAGTATGATCTGAATCTGCATAGAGCCGACAAGAAGAACTGTCCAATGATGAAAGTGCAGACCATGTTCATCGCTACAGCACAGAAGTAACCTGCATTTCTCACTTCAAGAGGATAGATCTCAGACGGAACAAGCCATCCCAATGGTCCCCAAGACCATGCAAATCCAGACACGTATATGCAGATGAGGACCAATACAATCAGCGGCACGGCATGGCCAGTAATAGGACCAACCAGTTTCAAGTGAGCTAAGAGAATGCCTCCAATTGTCATCTGCGTAAGATGATGAATAGGCATAGACGTTAACTTGTTATTCAAGTTAGATTATGTCTAACATGTGACACAAGCAAAAAGAAGAAAAACTAACCTGTGTAGCGGTCATCTGGATAGCTCCTTCGACCAAAAGACATTTTCGACCGGCCAAATCAACCATTACAAGAGAGATAATTGTTGCGACTGCGTTCACACCATTGGTGACAACAGTAGAGATCAGAGAAGCGTTGTTACCACTACCCATCGTCTGGAACAAAACTGGAGCGTAGAACATAACAACGTTGATACCGGTGAACTGTTGAAAGAACTGAAGTAACGTTCCACACACCAATGGTGGTCTGTTCTCACGATTGGTGAAGAGTTCTTTGAATGGGCTTTTCACTTTTGTCGAAACCTCTGTTGCGTATTTGATCTCATTGAACTCGAGCTCAATATCTTCAACGCCTCTGATCTTTCTCAGGACTTGCTTCCCTTTTTCGTCTTTACCGCGCTCGATGAGACTAGCTGGAGTCTCGTGGATAAAGAAGGATCCTATCAAGAGGATTAAAGCGGGGACAGCTGCACCACCGAGAGAATATCTCCAGCCGTTTTTCAACGTGGAAGTTAAGTAGTTCACATAACTTGCTGCTAAGATTCCAATGGTGATGAGAAACTGGAACATGACGTTTAGTCCTCCTCTGTATTTCGCCGGAGCAATCTCTGAGATGAACAATGGGACGGTCTGCAAAAGTAATGGCTTCAATGTTAATAAACAAAAAAAAAAAAAAAACGCTAATAGGTAGACCAAAGCGTAAGAAAACTACACAAACAAGTTAAGGCATAAAAACAGAGCAGACCCATACGAAAACAGAGGAACCCTAGATGAAAACAGAGGAAACCACTGAAATAAATGAAAATTGAGGGTTTAACATGATACCTGGTTACCGAAACCGATACCGAAGCCGAGAAGAATACGACCACCGATCAACATGCCCAGGTTTTGGGCAGATAAGTTGAGAATAGCACCGACGAGGAAGAAGATGGAGGCGGAGATGATCGTGGGTTTTCTTCCAAAAGCCCTGGAAACATAGGAAGCAATAAAGCTAGCAAAGATTCCAGCCAAGTAGAGTGACGAAGTGAACAACTGCAAGAGCTGGTCATCGAATTTGCAGTAGTTGTTTTCGTGTACCCTGTGTTTCTTTTCGTACACGTGTGGGAAAAAATCTAACAAGAAAGTGTCCATACTCGTCACACCTCCTGCAAAATTTGATTACCATTAGTTAATTAATTGATATCACTTAAAAACATTCAAACCCTTAAAACACAAACCTGAGATTCCGATGTCGTAACCAAACATGAGACCACCAACAGCAGCAATGACACAGCAAAGAAAGACTTGAAAAGTCAGTTTTGCAGGAAAAGCTTTAGTGCCTTCTTCGACATTCATCGAACCAACAGCCATTGTTGTTGCTCTCTTCTTTTAATATTTCTGATTATGTGATATTAAGGATTCGTGAATAGAACTCAATGCCTAGAGTGGAGATGCGTTTCTTTTATAGATGAGTGCAAGGGTTTTGGATATACTAAGATTTTGCAACAGAATCTGAATATTTTTCATCGGAATTTTCTACTGACTCGATCCAGTTTTATCTGAATAAATGTAGATAATTACTGATAATAAATCTGTGATTTGATTTCAAGATATTATCATTTAGATAAATATACAATTTAATTCTTGACATATTTTCTTTTGATATCTTGTTAAATCGTTTAGATCAATTACGATATTTTTTTTTTATTTTTGTTAAAGTAAAAGATAATGACGTATGACTAAAATAATTGACAATAATATTAAAAAGACTTTATTCAAAGAAATACCAAAAGAAAGTGAATCGACTATACTGTCTTGGTGAAGAAGTGCACAACAAAAAAAAAAAAAAAAACGGATTTGTAAGAGAAACAAATGAAAAAGTATGGATAGAATTTAGACAAATAATTATCCGCATGTTAAACAACACAGATAATGCATGAAAAAAAAAAATACACCTATATTATTGTAAGAAATCTAAGTATTTGTTATAAAAAATCTTTTCTCTTGTTAAAACTTTTTTTCCATCATGGATAAAAGTTTATCCATATGTTTTTTTTTTTTTGGATAAAAGTTTATTCATATGTTTTTTGACATCATTTATCCACATGTTAAAGAAAAATTTAATCCATATAAATTTACCAAAAAAGCAGATAAAAAAAAAAAAGAGACCACTCATATTTAAAAGTAAAAAAAAAACGATTGGCTATTAATCAGGAGAAAAGTAAAAAAATATATCAAAAATATTTAGAGCTTCATAATCGGGAGAAAAGTAGTGGTAGTTTAAATTTACTTATCTTGTTGACATAATCAACCATTTATTTATTTTTAACATCTAACAATCAACCATTTATTTATTTTAAACTAAAAGACATTGTAATTTACGAAAATGTAAATAACCAATCATTATCAGATTTTCCACTTTTTACAACATAAGTTATATCTCAATTATCATCAAACAAATCGATGATCACTTCACTAAATCAACTTTAGCATATACATAATCTGAATTTAGCTAGGAAACCTATACTTTCTATACTGCATAAGCCTGAATTTGTTAAGTGTTAAACAAAAGAAGAAACTTCTTCTGCACTTGCCTCAGATTGTCCCTGTTTTAGAAAACACACTTCATCTTTCTGTTAAAAGTAGATTTCAGTTCAAGTGCACGGAAAAGCCATTGAAACTGACCTCTGAGCACACTTCATCTACTGTCCCCATCAACACCACCTGATTGATTATGAGGAGATTCTGGATATGGAATAACAAGTTGAGGTTGACTATCTAATGTATGTTCCAAACTCTCAGAATTCAGAGTATAAGTCTGGTCTAAAGGTAACAACATGTCTGGTAATACTGATCTTGGGGAAGTAGCAGACTCGTCTGATGTGACATTGTTCACATTTGAAACTTCAGGTTCAATAAGTTCTTGCATCTCTTGAGTTGATTGGTCTCCATCATTTCCCCCAAAATGCTCTTCGGATTCTTGATTTGTTAAGGGTTCAGGTTCATCAGAGTCGTCATTTATCTTCATCTCATCAGTCGAGTTTTGGACAAGTTCCAGTGATTCCTGTCAAAACGGTATAAGGAATATATTCAAATTCAATATTTTGAGAAACACATTGAAAGAAGCAATCATGTTCCATAAAATCAGACAAGAACAAGAACTATATAACCTCTTCTCTTCTTGGAATAACTTCATTGATGTGAGGAACTGTTTCCAGTGGAAAGTGTCCGGATTTTGAGCTATCTTCTTCCTCAGATCTTTCACTGACATTTGTACCATCAGACAGACCCTCAAATTGTTTGGCTTCATAAGTTTCTGGAGAGATTGTAGAACTCTTTTCATCGAAAACTTGACCAACTTTCTCCACTGGTAACATTTGAGTTTCTGCAGTTCTATCCACAATGCTCTTCTGTTTCACCTCATTTTCCTCACCACTAAAGCGCGTCTCCTTCCCGGTTTCTGATTCGTAGACAAAGAGTGATTTCTCTTCATCAGAAGAATTATTCCCATCAACTGTAGTGGGAGGTGATCCGATTTCAGAAAACTCAACTTGAAGATCAGATTCTGCGGATAACTTATGACCTTTTCTTGAGCTGTAACCAAAATGCTCCACGTATCTTTGCCTTTCGGCTGCTAAAGAAGTCGAAAGTGAACCTGTGTTTCTAGGAACTAAACCAACTAAAGGGTTTTCAATACGAAGATCACCATTTGGTTTCCCGGAAGTTCCAGAAGAATCTGCTTGATTTGAGACATTGGAATCCGTTTCCCTTTCTACAGGAGAAAGCAATGAGTTTGAATCACTCACAACAATCTCTGTCATGTGTTCTGACTCCATATCATTTACTTCTCCTCTTGTTAGATCTTTTCCTTTCATTATAGGATGTTTGTCCCCAACCAATCCATCATTGCAACCTACATGAGCAAGGATCACAATCGTAGAACTTAGAATCATTTTTTAATCTATAAATGTAAAACTGAAGTTAAGTTATTTAAAAATTTTGACCGTTACTAAGAAAAGGCTTTCAAGTGTTTTTGCATGTGTATGTTGTATCAATAAGACAATAAGCCATTTACATTGTAAGCTACAACATTTTTCAGAATGATGGGAGAATGTACCTTGTTGTGGTCTAGACAAACCATCAATTGACTTTTTCCACGGTTCCCATTTCGTGTCAAGCTGATTTTCCAATGGAAAGACTCTGCGACAAAAGCTTTCATGGCGGCAGAAGAAGATATCATTAGGGTTGGCTGCAAACTCCTGCTGAAAACTATCCCCTGAGAGGTTAGGCTTCTCTTCTTGTGGATCATAAGGAATATCAAAGGGGTTTTTAGTTGGTAATAACACAGAAGGTGCAGATTCAGGCATTTGAAGGCCATCAACTATATAGTTTTCTTGATGCAAACCGAAATAGTTGCGTCCAACACATATTGAAGGAACTTCCATATCCATTAGGCTACTCTCAGCCGCAAGTCGGACTAATCTCCTCATTTTCCTTCTTGTAATCAAATGCTCTAATCTCTTGTTACGTTCCATCTCAGAGTTTCCTAAATCCATCAAATTCTTCTGATCATCCTCGGTCCAAGCTACAAGTACCTTTTTGTCTTCATGAATAATTTCTTCTTCTTCGCCTTCTGATGACGATGAAGATTCTATTTCGGTTTCGCCACCACCACTCGTTAACCTCTCCGATGGATCCACATTCCCGGTTGTTGAAAGAGTTTCTTCATCTAAGCTAGGCTCAAAGGAGAAATCTTCTGCAACAAGAAAGGCTCTATCTTTCTTGGGTTTCTCGAGTTTGGGAGATTTATCAGTGTTGGGGATTTCGCCATATAGAGTTGTTAAAATGACTTTGTCTCTCTCATCCTCGCTAGCCTGAGAAGAGTCCCAATCTTTCCCAACCTCTTCAACTTTCCTTCTGGCATTTCGTCGAACACTTCGTTGGTGCTTTAAGTCAGCCTTTCTTGTTTCTTCTTCCTCAGACCTCTTTTGGGAAAATGGTGAAAACAAATTATCCGTTTTGATACGCAAAAGCTTGAAACTTGGATGATTCCGAAGATAAAACACAGAGCAGGCGATTAATGGAGAAGAGTAAAGGACGAAATAGAAAAGCCGAGGGAGAAAAATGTATAAGAGGAAGATAAACGCAGAAACACCAGACACAACGGGGTGATTCTTTACGTTTGTATAAACGATGTTCGTGGAAAATCTGAGAATTTTCCAGAACAGAGTTCCGACATCTTTGGCATCAATTCTCATGTTTTAAACAGCCCTAATTCTCATAACCATTGAGAGATTATAATCCAAAGCATTCTACGGCGGTTTTGTTTTTTCATAGAGAATCAAAAAATGTTTGAAAGGAAAAACAAAAATAGTTTAATTGAAGAAGCGAAAATTGATCGGTAAGAGAGAGGTCAAGCTTACATTTGAAACAATAACCAGTCATTAAAAATTAGAAGTTTTTTTTTAGATTTTAGAAATTTTCTCTCTTTTGTTTCGTTTTGGGTTTTCAGTTTTCAGAACACACCGCACACGGACGGAGATGACAAATTAGGAAATGGATAAGAGAGGGCGGGAGTTAATTAGTTGCTTACACATGTTTCCTGAGATTCTTGTTTTCTCACACTTTTGATCACATTTTTTTCTAGTTGAGATATTGACCCTTAGGGTTCATAGATTTTTGCATCTCGACATATCCCTTCTTCAAAAGAGTGGGCTATATTCCTAAGTTCTAGCAAATTCTTATCTTTTAACAGTTGTTAGCAGATTTGGGTGAGACCTTTGATAATTTTCAAAACCAAGATGTGTGTCACTGCCACCTAATTGGACTACTGAGTAGATTTGTTTTGCATCCTTCACAAGTCACAACTCCTTATAGTGCATGTTCCGAGATATGAATCCTTATTACCACTTTTAATAGCCACTCTTCCTTGTTAACTCTAAAGTCAGTTTTTGTTTCTCAATCTTTAACTGATGCACAAACAATCAACTTTTCTCATGATATCTAATTTGACTCCATTGAGAGTTGGACACAAAATCAGTATGACAGAAATTGAGGATGATCTCTTTAAAAACTCTAAAATTAAATACACATTTCTCTTGTTGTTACACAAAAAGGAAAGAGAAGACCTCATCAAGGAGAGTAAGAAGATGTGCTCAAGATTAAGCCACACTTGAAGCAATTGGAACTACAGGTGCTACTCATTCTTAAGCTTCCTCTGACCCTTCATAACACAAACAAAATGTAATCACGTATCCATATTAACACATCACATTTCTACCTCTTCATGCAATTAAACCAGACAATAACGATCAAACACAACATTAAAAATTTCCGACAAAAAGCAAGTTCCTTTCAACATAACACTAACCTTCCGTGTCATCTTCATCGTCATCTTCTTCCTCCACCGCATCAACACCGTACCTCGCATTCAAGAACTCCACAGCCGCAGGAGTCAGAACAAGCTTATCAGAGTTCAAAATGTCAAACAGATTCAGCGTCCTCGGCGTCAACATCCTCAACGTTCCAATGTTCCTGCTCGATTTCGCCACATTCTCATCCACATCAATCATCAAAAACATTGCTTTCTCCTTCGGATCCAATCCCCACCTCTGCATCGCAGCTAAGAAATCTTTAGTCTTGGGCTTCTCAAACTTCTCCCCAAATTCCTCCACCACTATCGCACCACCTTCCGCCGAAACCGCACTCGAAAGCGCCGTCGATATTGCCAGCTTCTTCTCCTTCCTATTGATTTTAATCGACCAATCCTTAGGTCTGGGCCCGAACACCACACCTCCACCGGGACGTAACGGTGTTCTCTGAGATCCACGCCTCGCGTGACCAGTTTTCTTCTGTGCGTAAGGTTTAATTCCACCACCACGAACTTCACCGCGAGTCAGCGTCGACGCAGTACCTCGCCGCTTGTTCTGCAAATCCGTCACGATGGCTCGGTGCACAACAGCACGCGCGGTATCCTCCGGCGCCGTTTTGAGGTCTAGATACGTTTCCCCGACCTTCTCTCCTTCGAATGAGATAATCGGCAGAGTCGCTAGCTGGGAAGCGACAGAGAGTGGTTTCGAGACTCTGCCGGAGCCGAATTTGGCGACGGAAATGTAGGTTTTAGGGATTTGGTGAGAGGAAGACAAAAAGAGAGAAGATGAGAAGAAAGATAGCGGATTTGGCGCTGTTGCAGAGGAAGCCATTGTTGTTCACTGACCTGATCTATCACAACGAAGAAGAAGAAGAAGAAGACTGAGAAAGTAAGTGTTATCCACTCTTCCAATGCCTATCTTGTGCTTGGTGAGAATATAGGCATCTGTTTGGACATAAGGATATAACTATCCCATCTATGAATAACTCCAGCTGTCGCTCGCTAGTAAGAAAGAATCAAACTTCAAAAGTCAAAAGCCTCTTATGTATCCGGCAGGTTTTAAGAGACATACTCTGTGATAAACGATAGTTGAGACTTTTGATACAGATATCTAAGATACGAGCGCACGTTAGCTAAGGCCATATCGGCTTAAAACGCACCGTATTCATTCATGGCTTCGTCGGAGCCACTCGACCTGGTTGTTACCGTCGTCTCTGCCAAGCACCTGAAGAATGTCAACTGGCGTAACGGTGACCTGAAACCCTACGTTGTTCTCTACCTTGACCAAGACCACCCTCACTCCACCCGCTCCGATGATTCCGCCTCCATCAAACCGGTGTGGAACGAGCGGATCACTCTTCCTCTCACCCGATCCGTCCACGAATCGGTCCTCAACATCGAGATTTTTCATTCCAATTCCTCGGATCTGGCGAAAACCCTCGTCGGATCGGTTAGGTTTCCTCTAGCTCGCTTGATTGACTCGGATGGGTCAATGATTCCGGAATCGATCAATTCGCTTGAGCTGGTCCGTCCATCGGGTCGGCCACAGGGGAAGATTCGCTTGAAGCTCGCGATCAAAGAGAGACCAATCCCTCCACCGCAGCATCCTCCGCCACGTCCTCAATCTCAACCACTAGATTACTACTCTGCCCCTCAAGGAAACCATTATTACTCTCCTACCCCTCCTCCTCCTCAAGCTCCGATCACCTCTCCGTCTCCTCAGCGTGACTACAGAGAATTCTCACAGTCACCGTCTCCGTCTCCTTACGCATTCACTGATCATTACTATTCCGGGTATTATTATCCGCCGCCTCCACCACGTTCAATGTACGATCGTGCCTCCAATTACGGCCTCCCAAGTGGCCCATCTGCTCCCGTCGATGCCTTCTCATCGATTGATCACAAGCAGCCTCCTTTAGCCCCTCCTCGGTTTTCCAATTACGGTCCACCGCCTAGTGGGCCATCAGCTCCCGTTGATGCCTTTCCGGGTAACGAGTACAAGCCACAGGCTCCTCCTATAGGCTCGCGATTGTCTAGCTACGGAGTGCCTAATGGTCCATCGGCGCCAGTCGATTACTCACCTTATGATCACAGGCAGTTACAGAAGACGATGGGTGGATTGAGCTTGGAAGAAGAGAGAGCTGCCGCAGAGAGGTCTGAGAGTGATTTCGGAGCTAGGCCAAACTACAGCTATGGCCGCGATTATCGCCGTGAATGTTGATGATGGAAAAAGTTGTTGACTTTCATAAGTGTGTGGCCTTTATAAGGCTTTACTTATCATCAGATTTACCATCCATGTTGGTGTTTGTAGATCACCAAGAAATGGCTGGTGAAAAAAATATGAATTTGGTGAAGACAGTATATCTTTATGTCTATATGTATTTCTCGTTTGTGAATTGATTTGCTTCTTTCTAGCTGCTATTCTGTTTATGTATGTGTACCTTTGTACATGCTTCTAAAACATCTCTGATTTCTTTCCTTCTTTCAACTTCTTGAATCAGGCTATTGGGTTCTTAGGGTTAATGTTCTAATGTTAATCCCTTCTCTGTTGATTTTTTGTTTGAACCATGCTCTGATTAGGTATGGTAGTATGCTCTGTCTCAGACATGAACAGTCCTATATCCTGCAATTCTGCCGAATATTTTTGCAGGCTGGTTAAAGACTTTGGATGTTATCCCTGTTTCATGATACCACTGTGTGATTTTTATTTTCTAACTCTTTCTGTACACCTATCGACTAAATAAGTAGCTAAATGTCTGAAATATCTCTTTTGTGAGTTCTAATATTGGAACCAGTGATCTCCATCTGTCAGAGTAATAATTCATTGAGGGATATGGTTGGATTAATGTGTCTTGAATCATGCTCATCACAGTAGAGAAAAGATGTCCTCTCTGACGTTTTGGGTAAGATGTAATGTACATGGTTGGTGCTAAATCTATTGTGCTCTTGTTTTGACGATGAGACACAGCAGTTTTGCTATTGCATTCTTTTCCCTTTTGGCATTTTTGTAACCTGCTATATATGTCAGTCAATCTCATGCCATTTGCATGACTTATCATGCAGGAATTATTGTTCTGATCTCAATGGAATGTTTTCACATGTAAAATCACTCTACATTCTCCAGATTCTGTGATCTTCTATTTATGTCCTGACACTCCCTGGTTTATTATATGCTTTCTCGTATTCTTGTGCCCACCATTAACTTGTTTTTTTGTTCTTTTTTATTTTTCCTTCCATTTTATTGTAGCCGCAGACTCATGAAAGGAATCTGCAATCCATAAAGGTAAGTTTATATCGGCCTCTCCTGGAGTCAAAAAGAAACTTTTTTAGATTGTTATGTGCACACATGAGTGATCATCAAAGAAGAATGATACCAAATGGTTGCTTCACCTTTTTCTTCACTTAAACAATGGGTTTATTCCCTATGTGGACCATAAAGAAAAATAGAAAAAACTAAACCTAGTCTTCTCTTTTTGCTCTTGGGCATAGCTCTCTTTATAAATTTGTAGATCCACTTTAACTACAAGTCTTTTATATATAGGGTCTAAAATAAGATTGAAGCTACACTTTTTTGTTACTTGTTTATGTGTTTATGTCTTGAGTGCTTAATCATGGCCTAAGCGTAATGATTGTAGATATATACATCATTAATTCATGTCTTTTCCCGTATTTGCCTGAACTATCAGCCCAACTGTTCTCAGAATCAGTCCCTTATATATATATCTCTCATTATCCTTATATTGTTTCCCATAAACCTCTCTCACTCTCTCTATCTTTCTCTTAATATGTCAGCTACTGGTATAAAAAGGGCCAACCCAAACACTAGACCGGTTCAGAGAGATGCTTCGGCCAAGCAAACAGCTATCAAGGGACCTTATGGTAAGAGTCCGGGATGCACAACGAGCTGCGGATTAAGGTTACCGAGGAAAACAGAAGTCACAGCAGCAAAATTAATCAAGCATCTTGGATGCAAATTTGCAAAAGGATTGCGTTTGGTGGTGATGAGGAAGAAGAAAAGATCTCCACCGTCGAAAGTTTCTTCTTTTTCGGGGAGATCTCAGCCATCAATCATCCCAATAAACAATGACAATCATCGGTCAGAGGCTATAGAAGACTGCATACAGTTCATCAACTCATCATCCTCCTTCACCAGATCAAACTCTACATCTTAAGTGTTATCACTCCCAAACCCTTTGTCTCGGTCTGTCGCTCGCTCGCTTATTGTCTATTTGCTTATTCGTGAGAGTTGCATGTAATGTCCACATAAATCTATTATGTGACTTTTGTTGTTGTGTGTACTGTGCAGTAGTACGAGTAAATGTCTTCCATCTTCCTCAATTTCTGTCTATAAATATTAGATTTTGATATTCGTATTTCTTCACGATTAGTTACAAGGATAACCCACTTCTGTTTTGTTAATAAACCATTTCTTTTTTTTTTTGACAGCAAAAATAAACCATTTCTATAATACATATTTTGTATAAAATTATTATATTGTTTGTGAAAGCTACTTTCAGGATTTTTTTCTGAGATATTTCCATCATTAAAATGTTCGTGTGTGACTTCTTTAATCATTTTATTAATTATGCAGTAAAAATGCTTTAGTTTAAAAAGTAAATTTAAAATAGATTATCCAAGAAAGTTCATAAATAAAGCATGGCCACTGATTTGTTTACCTTTAATAGTTAGTAGCACCTTCAGTGAACGGGACACCACCTAAATCAATCATATGTGTGTGCGTGTGGGATTTGTTTTAGACTTTTAGCTTAACATTTCATAGCCTAAAACGACTTCTCCCTTTATATTTACTTTTTACCCAAATTCGTGGTCGTGTTCGATTTGTTATACAATTTGATTGAGTGGTCTACTAAAAGTCTAAAAGTTGAAATCCCCACTAATCGTTAGATAATACTACGTCCATTTGTTAATGTTGTTCCGCTGAAATTTATATATGTATTAATCAAAATCAAATTGATTATTAGCCTGAGACGAAATTTTGTCGGCAAGTCTACGATAAAGCGAGAGATATGAAATTAACAATTAACTTCTAAATAGGTTGGTGCAGTTAGTGTGATAATAAGCGTGTGACCAGACCAAAAGAAAAATTTGCAAGAATTAAATTATTAAAACATCAGAATGCTTAAAGCCCGTTAAGCCTCAACATCGTGTGGGCGTAATTCCAAAGCCTAAAGCCCGTAATATCAAAGCCCAAGGCCATGTTTAAAATACCCAATTCGCCAGAGCCACCGGCAATCTTCCCGCCAGTATAATCGCCATGGATTCCGGCGTAGCCTCACGCCTAAAAATTTCTTCAGACATGATTCCGATCTCAGCTGATTTAAAATACAATTAATCTGCCCCCAAATTCCCAAGAACCCTAAATTAAAGAAGAGTAAAATTGAAGGCTGGAGATTTCGAACATGGACGGTTACTCTCTCTCTACCTCGGTAATCTCGTTCCCACGTTCTTCCTCGCCTCTTACGCTTTGCGTGTTACCTAAAAAGTTCATCACCTTCATCGTCGCCGGTTTTCCTCTTCTCAAAAGCGGCCCACTGCCGATCGTACTCTCTCGATTCGTATTTACGCGCCGTGTTTCAAGCGATTTCGAGCTCATACTCGATTCTGCGAATTGAGCAAGGAACTTCTCTGCGATTCTTCATCAGGTATCAACTTCTAGGCCTCTCTCTACTTAATTTTGGTTTCTCATAAAGATTCTTGTGGTTTGAAGAATGTGTCCCTTAATTATGATTTTTGGGTGCAGGAACAAGAAATGACTGCTGTGAAACTGGAAGCAATTGTTTGCCACGAGCCTGATGAATCAGAGCTGAGTCACTTCAGTGGTAATGGTAGTAAAAACGTTGTCTTTCAACTTCTCGATCAAAAGAGTTCCGAACGTAGGTGGTTAAGTGAAAGGTAATAATATAACATGTTTTCTTCCGCTGGTTGGTTCAGTGTTATGGTCTCTAAGGATTTTTTGTTGTTATAGAAAGGAATATTGCATTGAACTTTCTTGATTCTTCCTCAAGGTTTCTCAGATGGAGACGGAGATATCTTCCGGTTGATGGAGATAACAGACGTGACCACGGCTCTGTCAAACAGTCAGGACCCCTTGTGTCTGGAGCAGCTTACTGTGTCTCTTCCTGCAGCATGATTATATTGAACAAAATTGTTCTCTCCAGCTATAATTTCAACGCAGGAATCTCTTTGATGCTATATCAAGTAAGACATTTTAACCCATGAGCTGGCTTAGTGATAATTTGACAAACTATTTTGTTTGGTGATTTCCTTATACGTTTATTTCAGAACTTAATCAGCTGTTTGGTGGTAGCTGTACTAGATATCTCTGGAGTAGTTTCAGTGGAAAAATTTAACTGGAAGTTGATCAGAGTCTGGATGCCTGTCAATGTTATCTTTGTGGGCATGCTGGTCTCGGGAATGTACAGGTAAGGTTTCGAACATTAGGCAAGAGTCTAATTGGTGAAATTTCAAAGGATGCTTGAATATAATGCAAAGTTACATTTCTTTTCCAGTTTGAAATACATTAACGTCGCTATGGTAACTATTCTGAAGAATGCGACGAATATTATTACGGCAATAGGGGAGGTATACATGTTCCGCAAAAGGCAGAACAACAAGGTTTGGGCTGCAATGTTCATGATGGTAAGTTAAATTGCACATCTCCCTCCAGTTGGCTTCTGTAGGCAATCCCTCTCTGATATCAAAGTGACACCAACTAAGAGTTTGCAATACAGATCATTTCTGCAATCAGCGGAGGTATCACAGATCTCACATTTGATGCAGTAGGGTACACGTGGCAGCTTGCCAACTGCTTTCTGACCGCAAGTTATTCAGTGAGTTCACGCTTATGAAACCAGTAACTGGATCTTGATGCATCACTTTCTCACTCTCCATAATGATCTTATCTTTGTTACAGCTTACTCTTCGTCGAGTCATGGACAAAGCAAAGCAGTCTACAAAGTCTGGCTCGCTCAATGAAGTGTCAATGGTGCTGCTGAATAATCTCTTGTCTCTACCTTTTGGCATCATCTTGGTCATCTTACTAGGCGAATGGAGATACGTAATAAGCACGTAAGAACTATTAAACAGAGTGACACTTGTCCAGTGTTTAGTTATTCTGTCTATTTAGTGATATAATTGGCTGATTCTTTAGCCCACTTAAAATACATCTGGATCACATAGATATTTCCAGCTTCTACTGTATTCTTCTTACATATAGTAGAATTTCTAGATACTAGTTTGTGTTTATAACAAGACTTGAGACTGCAAATGGGAAGATACACAAGTAGACGATCTCAGGGGAACTAAACAGGCGCATATGAAAAAGGTGATATCTTTTGAAGGTATAATGTTCATGGTGTTTTACTCTCTGGCAGGGATGTGACAAAAGATGCAATGTTTTGGGTAGTGGCAACAGCAAGCGGCTTCCTTGGTCTAGCCATCAGCTTCACTTCGATGTGGTTCCTGCATCAAACCGGACCGACAACATACAGGTATATCTTCCTCTGCCCAAAGGCAACATTTGATTGGATTTTTTTATCTGGTGTTAAATGTTATAACTTTCTTTCTATTGTGTGGCAGTTTGGTGGGATCATTAAACAAGGTTCCGATATCACTAGCTGGTCTTGTACTCTTCAACGTCCCTCTGAATCTCCCAAATTTGTTCAGCATACTTTTCGGTAAGTAACACACTTACAGATCTGCATCATATATCACACAAGCTATGATCATCATTATGTTATATGTTTTCTTATCTTTTGGTAACTTGAAAAGGTGAATGAATTTGTGTATGTATTTTGGTTTTGCAGGTTTATTTGCTGGAGTGGTCTTTGCCAGAGCAAAAATGTCGTAAAGCGTATTTTCCAAGCTGACAGTGTGATTGAGGTTTAGACAAATAAACGCAAACACCAAAGACCAAACTTGAGAGGGTTCTTCATCTGCAGCTGGTAGTTTCAACTTGGAATACATTTTTTACTATACAATGTAGAATGTAGTAATATAGATATAAAAAAACATCCGATTGATTAGATAGTCTTTGCTTAGAATGTTTAATTGGTTTATGCCTTGGATAATTCCGTAAAAATATCAGACTTGAATGATTGATCTATGCATAGAAAACTGGTTGGAACTTGGACGCAAGTACCTATTGAAGGTTAACTACTTCGTAAAAAGCTATCTGATCGTACTGCGTACGTCCTAAAGTGTGAAAACAATAAAATATCTATATATACATTTTTGAATGACTTTTAGCAAATAAATCCTGGAGTTGGACCTTATTTACGGATGAATGCCATTGGCATTAATTATTAATTTGAAAAATATTACTTAAAGATATTACCAATACGATTTCGAGAATCATAAATTCATATCTTCCTTAATTTTCTGAGTCATTAATGTGATAATCTTTAAGAAATATTTCTCTGTAAAAAAAAAAAATCCACATTAATGAAGGCATTAAAATCGACACTAACAATTAAATTATTTAGATGTTCAGTTATTTTAAGATTCTTATATCTTATTTGATATTTTTTTTTTAATATCTCATTCTTTAATTACTGCGTTTAGAATTTATTGGTTGTTACCTATTTTTTGGTGAAATTTATTGGTCGTTACTTAATAAGTAATTATGGTGCGTTTATTTTAGTTAATATCTAATTTAAAGGATTTGTTTTCTTTTATTATTAATAAATGAATAACATGTATAGAAATAAAAAATTTTTTTTGCGACTCCATAATAAAAATATTAAACTCTTATTTTCTACATTTCTTACACATAATATCCTCTTATTCAATAATAAAAAATATATATTACATATTTTTAAAAATATTTATAATATTTAAATTATATAAAAAATTTGTAATATTAATATTATTTCAACTCTATACAAATTTAATATATATGTATATATATCTTATGGGAACCATTTAAAAGAAATTTTTAAATTGACTTGAATTATATAGCTTTTAAATAAAAGTATTATTAAAAAGAAAAATAACTAAATAATGTTTAATTTCACGGGACGGGTTTGGGTTGATATTTATAAAAGATCGTATACCACGGGTGAAATCCTAAAATTAACAATCAAAATAATCTATCAAACAAATTACATTTTGATTTTTTTAAGAAAATATAGCCCCGCGGTGTACTGCGGGTTAAAATCTAGTTAATAGTATTGGAGCATTATTTTCACATCTTTCCACATCATCTAGGTCTAGCAGAAAAAGTGACAATAAGAGAGTATTTATAGTGACTTCACGTGAGAATATGCAGAGATCTGCGTGAATCCCAAAAGCTTATTATGGAGACGATAGACACACAAAGTCCACTTGATAATGAGTGATAAAAACAAAAGAAAGAGAGACGTGTCCCTCTTTTGGGGGTTCACATTAATGTTTTTGGTTTTTTTTCCTCACGATCCGATGTGTTGTTGTCTACAGAGATCTAAAGAAACGTACGGATCGAGAAGGGTTTTTGGTTTCTTACAAAACCTACACATATTTCTCTAACTCCCACCTCTAACTAAAATAAAGATTATTTATTACTATGCAATTTATGCAAGTGCTGATATACTAGTAATTTAATTTTGTGAGACATTGTTGTGTAAAATTCTGATTTCACACTGCAATTAATGTCGACAATCATGTACAGGGGACAAATGACACACACAATAAAAAGATGGTTCAAACTTATATATAGACAGAAGTGGACAATATCATTTACAAATCATCCAGCAAAAATGACATGCACAAACCATGGCCAAATCCTCTCTCTATAAGGATAAGGTTTAAGTTCTTTTAAAGAAACTAATTGACACATGGTTTTGTTCACGAAAGAGCAAGCCCGAGTAGGTAAAAAAACAGAGTCAAGCTCGAAATATGTGCATATATAAAACTAAAGTTTTTGGTTGACAAAACAAAAAAAGTTTGACACATGAACATGAGTTTGTATAGGCAAAAAACACACTGTACGTACACAAATTGTTGCGACTCTTTTTTCATGTGGTGTTGTTCTGTTGCGGTGGAGCATCGAGAGGGAAACACGTTTCATCACCACCGGTGTTCCAAAGGAAATGTGCGTAGTTGGCGGAGTAAACGGAGTTTGTTGGATCAGCGGAGATCGCTTCTAAGTACGTTTCCTCTGCTCTCCAAATATCGTTTCTTGCTCTCCATAGAAACGTTGCATATTTGTTCAGTGCCTCTGCGTCCGCTGGTTCTGCTTTTGCTGCTCTCTTGAAATACTTTTCCGCTCTGTTTTCACCAAGCAAACCAAAAGAAGCCACGTTAGACCACCATTATCCATGGGCTCTTAGCCAAATCTTAAGGTAAGATTTGTGAAGAAAAAGCTTAAATATAAACCTAAAAGCTCTTATATAAGATCTCTTTCTTCACAAATCTTAGCTTAAGATTTGGCTAAGATTCATCTAAGAGCCCATGGATAAGGGTGCTCTTAGATATAGACAAAGATATAACACAAAGAGTAGAGATAAGATATGGATTTGAATAAGGCCAAAAGGGTAAATGATGAGAAAACGTAAGTGAATTGGGTTTTGGTTTATAGAATGTGACACATGTATCAAATGAGAAACTGTCTAAAATGGAACCACTTAGCTAAAATGTCAAAATATTGTCTGGAGACTGATCACCAAAATATCTAAAACAGTGTTTTACCCATTTTAGAGAATTATTACCTAACAACACTATTGGTGGATGAAGAATAATGTAACAGTGGTCTAAAGACTCAAGCTTCAAAATAACACCACATACTCCACTGTCAAGTATCATCAACCAAGGTTTTTTTTTTCCTTGTTGGGAACCCACCCCAAAAAAGACTCTAGCTAAAAGACAAACTCTTTGGGAAAGAGGACAATATATCAATCCCTATAGTGAATGACAACATTTTTAAATTATGCCCTATTTTATTCTGAAAATGGGAGATGTAGATATTTCATACTAGTTGTATTCTTTCTCTAAGGGGTAAAGAGAACTGGTTCACTCAATTTAATCCTATCCGATTGGTTCTTATGGTGATTTGATTATGACAATTTCTAGCTTAAAATATCTATGGCTCCCTAATTTGCAATAAAATATCTACCATTCCACGGCTACTTCTGACAGTTAGTAAGTATCAACTTGCAAGACTCCAACCTAAACACCAAACCGAATCTAAACTCCCTAATCTTACTTAGTCAAATAAAGAACAAAATCAAAGATAATATACTTTAAATAACATGATTAGTGGTCAGATGTTAATTACCTGTCGTAGTCATGGATGATTAAGTAGAGAAACTGTGCGTAATTAGCGAGAAGAAGAACGTTGTCAGGCTCTTGAGACAATCCCGTTTGGTAGAGAAGCTCTGTCTTGAAGTAATCCATGGACTCCTCTGCTTCTAATCTAGCCTCTACCGGAGAAACCAACTGCTTCATCGTGTCGTGATCCAAAGTTTCCATTTTCTCCGTTTCCTCCAAGATCGAATTCCACAGTCTAATCTCTTCTTGCCCCGACACAGATACATCTGAATCCGCACTTGTTGCACCGAGAGACGATGATGAGAATTGAGATTTTTTGAACTGATCAGATCCATCTCCCTCTGTTCCGCTTTGCACCGGCGGTGGGATGTTGTTCCCACCGCCACCGCCGACAAAAGATGTTTTCCCGTAAGGAGAAGAAACAGAGAACGTCTTAACCATTGAAGAATCGAACTTCTGGTTTATTTCTTGAGTTTCACTTAGCTCCGACGTCGTTTCGAAGCTGAAAGAGAGGGTGGTTGTCGGAGGACTTACGGCGGCGGCTAAAGCAGAGTTGCTCTCAATAGAGTAAACCGTGAAATTAGCGAGAAGGATCATAACAGAGACCATCAGAGTAGGTGTAGCAGAGAAAACTTGTTGAAACAACCAAACAAACGATGCTTGCATTTCTTTTCTCACACGATGAAGAATTCCTTGCAAATCTTCGAAGAGAAGAAGCTCTCTCATGTGTAACGTGAAGCTTTGAAGTTCTCTGATCATAAACACCATTGAAGAGAAAGCTCTCTCCACAGAGGAACAAGCCGATTCTCCGACTTGTTTTAAAACTCCTTCCTCCATCTGTAACTTTCTCTTTATGATCCTAAGCGAAAGAGGAAGATCGACGCTGTTTGCTTTCCGCTCGATGCTTGACATTTGCACCATCTCTGGCCACGGCGGTTCCATTGAATCTGACCTGAAATTATTATGGCTTCCTACGATGTCCATCTTTCGAGTGGAATCGTCAATGCTCGTATCTGATTCGTATTTGTCTTCTTGGTTAGAGACTTGGAATTTGAGAGTTAGCTCTTGCATCTTTTTCGAAAACTCCTCCTCGGAAAACGGATCACAGTTTGCGCTAAAAGCTCTGCGAATCAACTGAGTATTAGGTTGTTTTGTTGATCTCCAGAGCTCACAGGAGTTGGAGTGTTGGAGATTCGTGGAAGAAGTGCCCAAGGGAGAAGAAGGATTAAGCCTCTGGCTCTGCATCGCGGAACGACAAGACAGAGAAGAACGTCCGTCGTTTCCGATGACCCGTCGTCTTGAAGGAGATGAAACGGCGGAGGAAGATGAATGATGAACTATGGGATGAGCCACCCATTGATGGAAGGTAGAGGCTGTTGCTACTTTCACTCCCATTTTTTGAAAATATCTTCAAATCAAGATTTTATTGTTTAGCAGCAACAACAACAAAAATCTGGACAAAAACAGAGCAAAAGCTGCAGACTAGTTTCGTCTGAAATGCTTTTTCCTCTCTCAAGATTTCCTGCAAATCAAAAGATGAATCCAGTGAGTCAAAATGAACCATAAGATCTCAGCTCAGGATAGTTTCTTTGTAGGAAAACTTTGATAGAATAAGTAAAAACTGGGAAAACTAAGTTATTAAATCCATGCACACACTCACGGGAATGAATCATTACAATCCCATAAAAAACGGATCGGAGGAAAACTGAATCAGCACGAGAAACAATGAAACACCGATATCATAAATACAGAAAAACTTGTGTGAAAGAGAGGAGATGCCGAAGAGACTCACTCTATATAGTTAGTGAGCGATGATTTTTGCCCGAGATTTTTCTCGAATTTTCTCGGAAAGAAAAAAAAAAAAAAAAACTTTCTCGGGATAATCAGTGGATGGAGCACGAGGCAGAGAGCTGCCTTCTATACA